GTCCGTCTCAAATCTATTTTATACTCTGAGGCAAACATTTCAGCTGACCAAAATTTTAGTTGTGTTAATTGAATCGAATCAGTAATGATAATTTCACATCAAAGCAGTTTCGAAACGCTTTACTGATAAGACAGAATTTATCAGTGAGTCCATAAATTACCATAAAAAACGGCAGATGTCGTTATAGAAAATATGTGGATGTCTGAGTTATTAATCCTGTTTGTTCGCGTCCTTAAAATTACTACACTCGAAGTACATAAGCAAATCCACTCGTAAAATCAATAGACAGATAAATTATGACAAAAACTAACAATAAAAAAAGACGTCCAATTATGAAACTAGTAAACTATTAATTATCCAGAACTTAAGATTACCTGACAGGCATTGAACAATATTTGGTGTTCGTATTTTTTGACGCCCAAAATGGTTTGAAACATTTCATAGAGTTGCTCTTTTGACAAAATCAGTTCAGATGCTGCCGAGGCCGCAATTCTTGGGCCCTTTTTTGGATCATCTTCTCCACGAAAAATGGCATCGTTTTTCGCCATCCAAGAGCTTAGCACAGTTTCTTTGCTAATACCGTCTATTTCAGGAAGACTTCGAACGCGTTTCTCGATCATGGCCTTGAAAACCTCACGAAAATCATTCGACGAACACCCGCCACTGATAACCATCTTTTGCACTCTCTCGCTGCAAATAAATATATCAAAGTAGGCTCTTACTGCGTTATAAAACGCCTCATCAGAAGCAATTTTTGTGTCACCTTTGAGGAAATCTTCAAATCGTTGTTTTATTTTCACAAGGTCTTGTTTGCTAACTCGTGCATGCCTTCGTGCCAAATCTGTTGGCTGTCGGGCGTTGAATGGATAAGCGATGCAGCGCAGAACGAAAATATACAACTGCAGTCTCTCTCTTCTTTCATCGTCTTCTTGTTGCTCCTGTAATGTGGCATCTGATACAACGGAAAGTGTAGGGCTCGGCGTGTGCAGAGAAGGACTTACACTGGGCGAAGGAGCCGTCGTCGTAGAGTATGTCTGCTCGCTTCTTTGGTAAATACTGAGAAGTTCTTGTGCATGTTCGTCAACATCGCCAGCCTCATCAACATCGTCTTCGTCGGATGATGAAGCAATCATGGTGCACACGTTCTGTTAAAAAAAAAAATTATTACACTCGCAGCGAACTTGTGAAAAACACGTTTGGTGAAGGTAAACAAGGAACTGCTCTGACTAATATTGGTATGATGGCTTGCTCATTTGACGCGTACATTACACTAATCATATATGAATAATGTAGCTAACGGAGGGGAACCGCTGATTAAAAGAACGTAGTTTCAGTTTCTCAGCATTGCCACTTTCGTACCTTCTCTCCCATACGGGGAAGACAACCAACAAAACTGTTCTCCTTCAACCATTATTGCACTGTAGTTCTATAGCTCTATAGTGTATACCACAGAGTATCTAGACGTTAATAAACGTCTCAGTTCAACACATCTTACAGAAGTGGTAACCAAAACAAAGACGAGAACAGGATCATCATTATCAGCAGTTCATTAGAGAGTTCAAGCCTGATAGAGTACCAAAATGAAATATATCGGAAGGGGGAACCGAATTATCAAACAAATTCTATGATAAATTGGGTCAAAAACCTACTAAATCAGGACGCCGTATTTCTTCAATTCAAAGCCGCCCTCTCGTAAACCCAGCACTCCATCAGCTGCATGTGTGTGGCTATTGTTCAGAAATAATGCGATGAAATGTAACGAGCACGGTACAGTTCTGTGACCTCCACCGTCCTTGGAAATTCATACAAAATAGTAAAACATTTGAACCTATCACACGTTTCTGTTACACTTGATATTTTAGTGGTAAGAAATTTGAATTGGAAATAGACGAAGCCCTCGAATGACTGCCGTAAGAGGAAAGTAGAAAATTTTATTAACCCTGCAACGACCAAAAGCGTTTTTTCCTTTGTATCGTTTTTTTTAACTTAATAAAAGATGATATTATTCGGTAAATGGCAAGAAGCGGTGTACTCGGACGAAAAGAACTCTGAGTGCTCCGAATAGGAGTCGAACCTCCGACATTTCGATGCTCTACAACCGATGCTCTTTTACGCATACTGGAAACAGTTACTGTATAAACGTATCCAACTTCGAGTTTCAAAATTTTCATACAATACGGAGGTCTCGCCTACAGAGGATGCCTCGAATCGTTAGAATTTTTAATCTGTTAATTCTAGCATCTTAAATTTAGCCTATTCTAGCATGAATAGCACATTTACATTTGAGTTGTGTAATCACCTGGATGAGAGGTATAGGAGGGGAAAGAGTTATTTGACTGTTGAAATATCTGATCAGGTTCGTAAAAACTGATTGACGAGTTTTGCTGTGATTTCATCGGTTTCAAGACTCACGAAGCGTTTGTAAGTTGTGATTAGTCAGTTTCGATCCTTTGACAGGAAGACACCGAGAACCCGATAAGATCATTAAATAAACAGTCACTTAACATATCAACCTTAAAAACAGTAGTTCCTTCCAAGGTCCTCTATACTACATGGTGTTCAGTTTAACTAACAGAAAAGGAGAACGATGTTCAAGGAACTGTTTTGTTAATGAAGTCGGAAATAAATGGATGAGATAATTTTGTTTCATCAACTGAGTTGATAATGTAAATTGACAACCTTAAAAAATTCCTAAAGCGGACTTTATGAGCGTCAGTCCTTCGTCAGAACGAAGTGAGGCCTCTTACAATGAGTTAAATTGCGAAATGTCTATTTCGAAACCCCTTACTCATTCGGTAAAACCAAAATATCGCGTCATACCCCCACCCCACTCCCCCTTCCCTACCGACGCAGCATCACAGTTTCTCTAAAAACTTACACCCCTTTGAAATATCGATGCATTTTTCTAGTAAGGGAAAGTTCAGCATCTCTGTTCTGACGACCAACTAAACGACTTGCCCCAAGAAAGATATAGCTTGCAGATATATATTTTTTCAACATTTCTCAAAAAAAAGTCACATCTAAGAATTAACCAGAGACCTTCACTGGCACTTTAACTCAGAGGCCTGTGCATTCAAATACAATACACTCAGACAAAGACTTGTTTAAGCAATTTATTATTAGTTGTTAGAAAATATCCCTTAGTCATAAACAGTTCTCACTTTAAAAAACTCACAAACAACTGAATACAGAGACATAAAGGCTCTAAGCCTGCCTGTTACCCTTAGTCATTACAATAACCATGGTAACCACGATTTGCAGTGCTCCTTAATTTCTGCTACCTATTTTACCCACGTTTGCCACATTGTGATTGGATTTCAGATTAAGACAGCTACAACTTCGACCTTCAACTATTCCGTCTATAAATTTTAAATTTTCAACAATTGATAGAAAACGAAGTTCTGAAAAAATTTTAATATATAGAAAACTAGCATTGTTGTTCTTGCGAAAGACGATTAAAACTATCGAGGTGCAACCTTCCAGTCCACGAAAATAGTTTCTTCTTGAATTTTTTAGCTCCTTAAATACAAGACTAGCTATAGGTCCTGACATTTGACACGCTTACACGCGAGTCTCGTGCGTTCAAACAGTTACTTGGAAGGGACTTCCGGGGATATGCTTGTCAGCCCAGAGGACCTTCAGGATGTAGGCACCAGGCTCCTCCAGGGCGTAGTTGACCGCGTATACGTTGCTTCCTGTGTGTTTGACATTGATTTCTTTCGCTGGTATGGCAGGGCCTTCAACCCCCACCATCAGGGATCCTCGTCCTGCATTGCTGGCGTTAACTGTAAACGAGTTGGGCTGCCCAAGAACAGCACTATGCAGGCCAGTTCCTCGAGAAGTGCACTTGGAGGCGTCTCCGTCGCTGACGTATCTGCCATCGGAGGGACTAATCGTTACATTATAAGGGCTACCAGGGATATCTTGGCCGGCGAATTTGATTCTAATCGTGTACTCGCCTGCTATGACCGGGTTGTACGTTACTTGGTAGGTACCATCAGCATTTTCACTGCAGTTCATCTTCACCTTAGCGGGGCCGTCCACAGAAAGGGCAAGAGCACCCGAGCCGGCCTCCAGGGCGTTGACGGTAAATTCGGCTGCTTCACCGACCCTACCCTTGCTTAAACCTTCACCATAAGCCTTGACTTTTTCTGGGTGTCCTTCCGCACCGCCTACTCTGATCTTAAAGGGGCTGCCGGGAATGTGAGATCCATCAAAACGGACATTCACAAGATGGTCGCCAAATTCTCTTGGGGTGAAGCGAATGGCGAAGTTTCCACCACCGAGGTTAGACACTTGAGCTTCTTTCTCATCCCCTGAGGGTGCCACGACAGACGCCTTCACGTCGCCAACAGAAGCATTAGTCTGCACGGAGAACGAAGCAGGTTGGTTTACTTTCAATCCACTCTCGGCAAGATCGGTAACATTGAGATCTCTAAAGCGATCTTCTACTTCCGGTGATACATTAGTCTTGAATGGACTTCCAGGGATATCCTCATCAGCAAACCGGATGTGGATTGTGTACTCGCCTGGAGTAGTTGGCAGGTAGGAAATATTGCAAGACCCATCACCATTGTCTGTGCATTTAATCTCCGACTTAGCAGGACCTTCAACTGCGATCGCAAGGCCTCCTGGACCAGCATCACGTGTCCACACTGTAAACTCTCCCGGATGGTTAACCACACCTCGTTCGAGCCCGGGTCCTGCAGCCACACATTTTGCAGCCCCACCCCACACAGGTGCCTCCACAAAGACCTTGAAAGGACTTCCGGGTATATCCTTCTTTCTTCCACTCTTGAATCGGACATAGATGGTATGTTCTCCGCTCTCTTTAGGCACAAAGCGGATTGTATATGTCTTCGGTGACGTTTCAATTATCTCGGAATCGAGCTCCGTTCCATCAGGGCTAATAACCATCGTCTCAAGATCGTCTATCTTGTAACCCTTCAGATCAAAGACGAAGTCATGAGGCTGTGCTGGGGTGGAACCGAACGTCACAAGATCTTCAAACACTTCGGACACTCGCTGGGTTGGTTCAGAGAACTGGTCAGATACAGCTGAGCTCACCTGTAAAATAACGAAGCAGATGATGGTCAAAACTCGAAAGCCACGAAATGAACTGCATAACCCTTGCTACATCGAACTCTCCAAAGAGGGAACGTGCGATAAAGACCACTAGAATAGATTTTTGTGGTGCGATTTGAAACAGATTTTTCGTTTTCGGTGTTTTTTTTATCCTTTTTTTTTTAATCTTCCCCTCAAAGCAGTCTATTGAGCGCGAGAGTCCTTTGCAAATTAACTTCGCAGCCACCAGTAATGTTTACATTCCACTGAATCTCCTATAAAGCGCGGGAAAACGTGACTAACTCGCGATTTGTTTTTAAGTTTCGAATCTGATTGGTTCAGATAGTGACGCAAGTTTTCTGGACTAATCACTTCCTCTACTACGGTAGAACGCTGCGAAAGTTTTTCATACAAATCACAGAGCACAGTAAAACTCTCCACTCAATGGAAAATTGTTCTATGGAGCAGTCTCGGCTAATTCACCAAACCTACAATACTGCCAAAATTTCGTCTGAAATATGAAATTCGAAGTCAATTCTCATTTGCTTACCAGGTTCTCTTCAACTGGTTGGATTTCATCGCCTGAGGGTCTGACATTTGAAGTGAAGGGACTTCCAGGAACATCTTCGTCGGCAAACTTCACATTGATGGTGTACTTGCCGGGTTCAACAGGTAAGTATTCCACTGTACACGTTCCATCTTCGTTATCCAAACACGTGATCTGCGCCTTTGAGGGTCCCTCAATTGATAGACCGAGTCCTCCATAACCAGCATCGCGGGTATTTATGGTAAAATTGCTTGGCTTACCGGCCACACCATCATGTAGGCCTACGTGAAATATAAAATTGAAATATTAAGTTTTCCTGGTTACGTCACGTTGCGACGAAGACATTGTTTTAAACATGGCGGAAAGCGCGAAATATTCTTCCAATTAGAGGGGGCTGAAACAAATAGCGAATAAAGGGCAAATTGGCAAAATTCGTTCTCAATCGTTTTACGTAGGTCTTCGATGAGCTTGTCCCAAAAGCATACACTGCTAAATAGCAGAGTCGAGGGGAAGGATTTAATCAACGATCAGCCAGGATTCAAACATTTTCTTAGCATTAGCCAATCGAGATAATCACCAATTTAAGTCGGTGTCATATCTTTAACCAATCATTTACTGTTCTGAAATAAAAAGAAAATTTCTTACCAGGACCCATACAGACGACTTTGCTTGGATCCGCTGGTCCTGGACCGCTGACCATCACCGAAAACGGACTACCATTCACATGGTTACCAGACTTCTTAACCGTCACGAAATGTTCCCCAGTCTCCTGCGGCGTGAAGGAAACGCTCAGAGTGTTATCCGAGTTGAGAGCTAAAGGAAGAGGTTCTTCAGGCTTCCCAGAAGGCCGCTTGAGACTCGCGCTCAAAAGACCGTCGGTGTAATCATCAGGAAGTTTCAGTCCTGGAATCTCGAGCCCAACACCGCACGGCCTGCCAATAGCGTTTCCAGTTTCGGGGGCGACCACCATGACACTGAAGGGGCTGTTCTTTACGTGAGAGCCGTATTTTTTAATGCTGATCAGATGTTCGCCCGGCTCACGTGGAACGAACGAAACGAAAGGGCTGTTATCTGAAGTGACTCTGAGCTTGAGGGGTTCCTCTTTACGGCTCGTTGGTCTCTTTAGCGTTGCGTTAAGTCTGGCGAGATCTTCTGGGACACGTAGATTTGGAATGTCCAGAAGACAATCGCAAGGTGTGCCAACAGCTTTGACGGCCTCAGCGGCTTCGACCATGATGGAGAAAGGACTTCCTGGTACGTCGCGCCAGTTTCTATCTGGTGTCTTCTTCCTTACACTGATCTGGTGTTCACCAGGTTCTTGAGGCACGAAGGACACGCCCAGCGAATTGTCGCTTGTGATTTCGAGCTTAAGCGGCTCCTCTTTCGTGCTGTTTGGTCGTTTAAGAAATCCTCTTAGCAAATCTTTTTCCAGATCTTCTGGCAGCTTGACACCTTGAATATCCAGGTTTACATCACACGTTCGACCCATGGGGTGGACTTCTTCCACCTTCTCTTCCTTGGCTCCAACCATCACACTGTAAGGACTGTTCTGCACGTCCTTGTTATCCTTTCTGAGATGGATTAAGTGCTCACCTTCTTCTCTAGGAGTAAATGCCACTCCCAAGGTGTTGTCTCCATTGAGAACAAGCTTGAGTTCTTCTTCTCTAGGACTGGAAGGTCTCTTTAGAGCAGCGCTCAGCCGGGGATAATCTTTCGGCAGGTCGATATCAGGACTCTCGAGACCTTTTCCGTAGGGTTTACCAACACTAGAGACGCCTTCTGGTGCGGTCACCTTGACAACGAACGGACTTCCCTCGACATGTCTCCCGTACTTTTTAATGTTGATATAATGAAGCCCAGTCTCGCGCGGCACAAACGAGCAGCTAAGTGTGTTGTCTGAGTTGAGTTTTAACTCTATTGGTTCTTCTCTATCACTCGATGGCCTCTTCAATGTTCCCTTTAATCTGTTCTTTTCGATGTCTTCTGGGAGATTGACATCATCCAATTTAAGGCAATAATCCACGGGACAGCCCACCCCCTCTACAGGCTCTTCTGACTCCACCAGAATAGAGAACGGACTGCCAGCGACAGGGCTGTTATCCTTTTTCCGTCTGATGGACAGATAGTGTTCTCCTACTTCTCTTGGCACGAAAGACACACTGATAGTTCCAGGCTTTGGACCAGGTCGCAGCTTCAAGGACTCTTCCACTTTGCCACTGGGGCGTTTCAAAGTTCCCACAAGGTCGTTGATATCTTCGGGTACTTTAAAGTCTAGATCACAAGTGTGCCCGACAGGGTATATGTCGCCAACACGTTGCGCCTGCACCATAACTGAGAATGGACTGTTCTGAACTTCGTGCTTGTTTTTGTACACGTGGATCAAATGCTCTCCGGGTTCGTATGGGATAAATGTGACTGCTAACGTTCCATCAGGGTTGACACGAAGTGGCTCCAAAGGCTCTTTACGGCCGTTTGGTCTCTCGAGTTCAGCGGCAAGTACGCCCGATTCGATGTCCTCTGGCCGGAATGAATCCGGGATGTTCAATTGTACGTCACATGGTTTGCCGACTGTAGGACGGAGAGCGGCTGCATCGAGGTCGTCGTAGTTGGAATAGATATGTGCCGTGAAAGGACTGCCAGGAATGTCTTGATCGGCGAATTTACAGCTGATGTCATAGTCACCTAAAATGAGAGAAAGAAAAAACGAAATATCAGAAAAAGAAACCGCGAAATTGGTCATAATGGGAATTAGCAGTGGACATTCCACGACGTGGCTTTTCTAGTCCACTACTATCACGAATTGGCAATTGGAATGTTGGTTTTTGTGTAAGGAGGAAAACCCAAGGACCTGGAGAAAAACCCTCGGAGCAAGGACGAAAATCAACAACAACCTCGACCCACACACGACACCTGTATCCCAGGAATCGAACCTGGGATACAGCAGTGGGAGGCGAGCGCTCAACCGTTGTGCCATCCCCGCTGTACGTCCAATACAACGTCATTAAAAACGAAATCAGTGACGAGTGAATCCTCACAGGTAACTTGAAAGTCAAGCAATTGCAGAAAGTAAGGGAACAAAAACATTTCCGCGCCTGAAACCGTGCCTCGCATACACAGTTTGGCACTAATTGCCTGAATCCTTATTCAGGCTGAATGAAAAAATACTTTCCGTAACTGTCTGCATTCTAGTCTATCCCAGCAGATCAGGTAATCATCAACCATTCAGAGGTCAATAATGATTCTTCATATATATGTTCTATGTAAAAAAATTTAATCAATTGCTCAAAGATGTTTTAATCCTCCTTCCTTTTCCAATTTCCTACATGGGGAAAAAGAGCGAGAAACTGCACTTGACCAAAACTTACCAGGTTCCTCGGGGACATACTGAACTGAGCATGTGCCATCTCCATTGTCTGAGCACGTGATCTCCGCTTTACTGGGGCCGTGAACAGCCAATGAGAGACCACCTGGGCCAGCGTCTTTCGTCACAATGGTAAAGTCACAAGGCTCCCCAGCAATACCACGCTCCAATCCTGCAAGTGAGCATAACATGTAATTATAATAAATACGCTGCTCCTTATCCGCTTACGATTTCCATTGAAAAATTCCCATGCAACTTTTTCATTTATATAATTCATCATCGTCTTGGTATAAGAAGGCTCTTATTGAGACTAACCCTTTAGTCCTACTTTTGGCCTATACGGAAGCCATTCGCACTTTTGGCAACCGTAGAAAAGGCCCTTTAACACCCCCCCTCCTCTGTTCTTGCCTCTACCCCTATGGCACCTGAAGCGTGCGAGATTGAGGACTTCCGGTGATAATCATATCACCAAAGACATTTACCTTTTCCGTAAGCTTTCACTTTGTCCGCTCCTCCTTCGACAGCGTCAAACTTAAACGGGCTGCCGGCCAGAGGTACCCCGTCATAATCCACGGACAGTTCATGAGGTCCAGGCTCCTTGGGCACACAGGACACATCGAAGGTGCCATCGTTGTTATCTTTGATTCGGACGGGTTCTTTCTCACCAGAAGGTGTAAGTAAGGAGCCGTTTAACAGCCCTTCACCGGGTGCTGACTCGGTTGGTCGCGTATCGACCGCGTAAACAATTTCCTCGTCCACAATTGGCTCTTTATCTAACTTAGGTTGGCACTTAATCTTGTCAACATCCACAGGTTTTTTAGCTTTCACTGAGAAGGGGCTGCCGGGCACAGGGGCACCGCCATAAAGGACCTCCACATCATGACGACCCTCGTCTTCTGGTACGAAGAGACAGTCGAATGTACCATCACCATTATCGAGCATTTTTACAGGAATATCCTTTCTTCTAGGTCCTCTGATAGAACACTTGGGAACACCTACATGATGAAGGAGTCATTCTCAATTTCAAGAAAACTTGGAGTTGTGCTAAGCGTAAGTTAATTAGAGTGCTTCGGGTCCAGTCTCTAAGCTAATAATATATTTTTGTGCCGGAATGATCAAAGCTGGGTTAAGATAACCCGGAGTTAGCGTGAAACATGACTTCAGAACTAAAAAGTTTGAAGGAAATTCAATACAATTACTTTTTGTAAATTTGAAGATTGGATGCTCTTAAAAGAATAAAGAAAATTACCCGAAAAGGCTTTGGAAAAAGGAATAAAAAAACCTGGATCAAAATTTGACCCTGGGTTAGTGCCAATCGGCCTTCGAAACAACTGGACCTAGGATGCGGAAAACTACGCCCTTCACAACCAAGTTGTGCAGCGCACAACGTTTGACGAGTGAAAAAAAAGTGTTTCTTGAAAAGCTTTATTCCAAATGACTGACCTTTCCCAGCTTTTGTGCAATCCACAGTAAAGTCATTCTCTTTGCCCACCAAGAAAGTATCATCAGGTCCCAATCCATCAATCTCTACCTTCGATGCGTCTCCACTCGGCTTAACCTGGACTCTAAATGGACTCTTTGGTACTCTCCTACCCCCATACTTGACATCCACACTGTGGCGGCCTGGTCGCTCAGGTACATACTCGACAGAATATGTTCCGTCTCCGTTGTCTTTGACATCCACCTCCAGATCAGGGCCGGTGGGCGGCGCTACAGAAGCTGAAATGCGATCAAAAGGAGAGTCATTGGTAAAAAAAAGCTATTGGATATTTTGGAAGCAATGGAGTCGGTGCGATTTGGGATGAAATAATTTGGACCACCCTTTCACCAAAAATGGCGGTTTTTTTGCTCTTTCTGGGCCTTTGAAAGGAAAATAGGTCAAGCGTTGTAACAATAGTAAAGGAAATGATCACCAACTAGAAAGCTCTTGATCAAAATATTCTCCTTGTCAGCTCCTTAGAAAATGTATAGGGAACAGTATTGAGAATATGCATACTGACGTTAGGGTGTAAAGGGATAAAGTCTCACAAAAATCTCATACCTGTTAAAGGAGCTACTCCAGCCTCAGTGCAATCACAAAGGAACTGAACAGGTTCATCCGTGAGGGGCGACTCATCCACTCCGGGTCCAGATACCTTCACTTTGCTGGCATCAAACGGAGGACCGGCACGAACACGGAATGGACTGTTGGGGACATGTTTGTCCCCGTACTTGACATTGACAGTGTAACGACCTGACCACAAGAAAATAATTTTGATGTTAGCCGCTTGGTGACTATTTAAACCTTGGAGCAATTTTCAATGTAGTGCGGAAAGTAAACCCAACCAGCCCAACCGCCTTTGGTTGTCCGCTCGCTCTTTCATTTGCCTCCACCGACTAAGGGCCTGGAACTGGCAATACACATCAGGGAAAGTACCATACTGCCCGCAGGTACATAAAAATGTATTCAATGAATAGCTCACCAAGTCAAAAGAAAAGAAACCTGCAGAACAGGCGCAATTCTGGCACGCAAGTACTCAGTACTTTCCTAGTGAAAATTATAGCTGCCATCTCTAATTTTTACAGCTGCGGAACGCTGGGAGGAGAAATAAATTTTATTAAGGGGGGTGAGCAAGTTATAAAGTCTAAAGGTCTAAAGGAAGGAGGAGGGAGGGGTGGGGCAACTCGTAGTCAACGTCATCGTTGTAGTTGTTTACAGAACATCACGGTACAACTGAATCTCACCTTCATCCTCGGGTGTATAAGCCACTGTATAGACTCCATCTCCTTTCTCAGACACAGGCTCGGGCTTCAGCGTCTTTCTATCAGGTGTCTCCACAGTCACCTCCAGGTCAGCATCCCCTGCCTCGGTAGTGTCTATGGTGAATTCCTGGGGCGCCTTGGAGAACAATGGATTGACACGATCCACTCCGGGTCCGTAACACTTCACTTTGCTTGCATCAACTGGGCGGGTGACCTGTAAAGTTAAAAGAATTGACTCAGTTTAAGAAAAATTGACCACATCGTTATTGTGTTGGTATATGTTCACTTCATGGAAAGGTATAATTCTTGCTTTGTAACGACCTTGTTCCGAAACGATGATTCTACGGGGAACATCTAATGAAGGGACACCCTCGGGACTAGAAATAATGTTCCCATAGGTCCTTCTAGCAGCGTGTAAATCGATAGACTGCGATGCATTGTTTCCGTGTGGTAATTAACCTGAACAGAATAATTAAGGGATAATTTTCAAATAGAGTTGTTAACCCTTAAATCATACAAACCTTAGCGTTAAAGGGACTTCCAGGGATGTGCTCATCAGCGAACTTAATATGGATCTCATAATCGCCGGGCTCTGTGGGGGTGTACTTCACAGAGCATGTTCCATCACCATGATCATTGCAAGTCAGTTTTGCCTCAGAGGGTCCCTCAATGGCCAAGCTGAGGCCTCCAGCTCCGGCACCTTTGGTCTCTACAGTAAACTCAGCGGGGCGGCCCACATTTGCCTTCTCCAAGCCGGGTCCATAAGCTTTGCACTTGCTTGGGTCCGTCGGTGGAAGAACATCAACCTGATTTGAAGAAAAGAGAAAAATCCGAATTGCAAGCTTTGGAGTGGATCTTTAAAAGAACCGCGGCCCTGGGGTTGGCCTGAAGCGCAGACTTCACTCTAAGAAAGACTGTTAACAAAGTCTTCGCCATCTTACCTTAAAAGGGCTGCCAGGGATGTGATCATCACCAAACTTCACGCTCAGTGTGTGAATTCCTTCCTCAAAAGGTGTGTATGAAACAGAATATGTGCCATCTTCATTATCTGTTACTAAGGTGTCTGTGTGCGCTCCAGATGGATTGTCCACTGCGGCCATTAGCTGTCCCTCTCCTGATGATAAACAGACACAAAATGGCAAGAATTAACCAGGGGTGCAGCCAGAAAATTGCTAGGTTTTCACACAGGTGACATAACTGAGAACAGATTTTACCATGTGCCACCCAAACCTCACGAGAGACTAAAACGGCCATGTCAAATGTAGAAAGAACTTCGATGGGAACTTTGCACGCTAACAGTGCCTGTATGAATAAACTCACCGGCAGATGTACAGTCCACGTCAAACTCGGCTAATTGATCGATGATTGCCGTTTCCAATCCATCGCCTTGTGCCTTGCACTTTCCTGCATCGCCAGGCTTCGCAACATCGACAGGGAAGGGGCTTCCAGGTACAGCAACACCATCAAATTTCACATCAACCTGATACGCTCCTTCCACAGGGGCCACATACTCGCAGGTGAATGTTTCTTTTCCATCTTCAGTCACCTTTACTTCCACAGGACGCCCACGTCCTATTAGAGAAATGAAAGTGTCTACAACTCCGTCCTACCTATTATTCTTAACCGAGAAGTTTTACGAATAAAGCTGCAGTCGCTGATGAGCAAATGACCTCGCCCTCTTCTTCCAAGGGTACAGGAACGAAGATCGGACTTCAGAGAGTGGTGAGAAGCAAACTTAAGATTCAGGCAAAGTTTACCAGCAAATGAAATTCTTTGCAAGGGTCTTACAGGCATTTGATATAATATCATATCATTTTTTACTTATAAAATAATCGAGACAAAATCGGTTCAAATTGCTCCCCTTGGACCCTCCTCGCCTACGCCCTGCTGTGATTCGTCCTCAAACTTAAGAGAGAGAGAGAGACTTACCGACAGGCTCTACTTTTACTTGAACATCTCCTTTACCAGCCTCAGAGGCGTTGATAGTAAACCACGTGGGTTTGCCAGGTTGAACACCAGTTTTTTCGACCCCAGGACCAGTCACTTTCACTTTGGAAGCGTCAGACTTGGGCGAGATAGCAACCTTGAATGGACTTCCAGGCGCATGTTTTCCACCGTATTTGACGCTAACCTTGTGGTTGCCTGAAAAATCAAAATAAGAACAACGATGAGACGGCTGTGAGACGCGGGAAAATGCGAGATCAGTTCATCTTGTGCAAACGCAGATTTGCTGGAAAGGGCACCATACCTTTCTTTTTCGGATAGTACGTTACAGCATAAATGCCGTACTCCTCTTCATCAATGTCACACTGAACAGGACTGTTCAACTCATCTACGGCTTCAACTGTAAGCTCTGCGTCTCCTGCCAAGCGTGTGTCTATATCAATATCCGCTGGCTCACCCGCACGTACCCCGGGCTCAATTCCTGGTCCTTCAACTTTAACCTTGGTAGGGTCAAACGGATATGAAATTCTTGCTTTAAAAGGGCTGCCGGGAATGTGCTCGTCCGCGAACAAGATGTTAATGACATAGTCGCCGGGGTCTGGGGGCAGGTAGGTGACGTCACATGATCCATCGCCATTATCTTTACATTCAATCTGTGCCTCAGAAGGTCCTTCGATAGTCAGGCCCAGGCCACCTTCACCAGCTCCTTTCGTCTCAATCTTAAATTCATTGTTCTGATTGACAAAGCCCTTCTCCAGGCCTGGTCCATAAGCACGGCAGACTTTGGAGTTGGTCTGGCAAACGTTTACCCGGAAGGGACTCTTGGGAATACTTTCGGAATTAAAAGTGATGTTGACGGTGTATGCACCAACAGTTGTAGGGTAGTAGACTACTGAATAGGTGCCATCTTTGTTGTCAGTGATGTCTGCGGGAACTTTCTTACCGTTACCGTCAATTACTCTCACATCGACGTCACCATCCCCGGCATCTTTCGTGAAAACTGTGAATTCAGCTCCCACACCTGCGCAAACAAACAAACCTCAGTAAGGATATTTCCTAAATTTTTCTTCGAGTCCTCTTAAATCATTCCAGTGGAATATTTGAATTCGGCAAGTAAAGACAGTGGTGCACAATTTTCGGAAAAGGCTCGTGAGATCATCGTAGTAAATCAGGTACGATCGGAACATTTTCGAAAATTGGACCCAAATCTCCTCATTTTTTTACGGCTCCGATACACTAATGCTTCATAAAATCATATTAGGAATTCAATTCACAAAGCTTTTTTGCTTCAGCCATAGCTCACTACGATTGAGATGTGGCCTCTCGGAAGCAATTGAATCATCTTTCCTTCCGTGATTGAGGTAGGTGAAAAACTCTCGCATCGAGCGACAACGATTGACCTAATGCCTTAGACATCCCTACACGTTCTTAGACGGTTGGATAGTTTCTTACACTACATGGTTTTAATTTTTTGCCAATCGTTCTTAAAATCTGGTTGTCTAACGGGAGGTTATCTTCTAAGTATCATAAACATTGGAACATATGTAATACCCCCAAAAGTCGTCAGGTTTCCTTATACAAATCAAATTTCCAGTGGACATTGTCTTGCCTAAGACACAACACAGTGGCCTTGGTCAAAGCTTTCACGTGGACTTCACAATGTGGAGTCCAACACGAAACTGAAAGCTTGGCCTGCAAAACAGGTGTAATTTCAGCAAGGCAGTGCTCAATATTTTCTTGATGGAAATTATTGCTACCATCTTTGATTTTTAAAGCAGAGGATGGCTGGGGGGGAGGAAAGAAATTTTACATAAGGGGTGACGGTCAGTCAAAAGGAAGTAGAGGAAGGGCTGGGGCTCTTCCTTGCCTTTTTCCCCCACCATCCACTTTAACTCTAAATCAAACATGGCTGGTGGAATAAACAATCATGGGATTGTAATGTTAACTCTCTTTAGTAAGACACTTGCTACTGAAAGCTATGTGTCCATACCTGAAACAACACCCTCAGGTTGCAGTCCAGGTCCTTCAGCATAAACTTTCTTGGCATCTCCTGCAGGTGATATTGGTACCATGAATGGACTCTTGGGAATGTCTTCGTCTCCACATGTAACATGTATGGCATACTTCCCAGGTGTAGTCGGGTAGTATTTCACATCGCAGATGCCAGGGGATTGCTCTTGACAGTGGATTTCAGCTTGTGAAGGACCCTCAATAGCAAATCCCAGGCTGTCGATTCCAGCTCCTTTTGTTTCGACAGTGAACTCACATGGTTTTCCTGCAGTACCTGTGAAAAAGTTTTAAAGGGTTAACATAACTCAAAGCTACTCATAGGGATCAAGCACTTAACCCTTTAACCTCTAAGAGTGACTAGCATTTAAATTCTCCTCACAACATCACTCCTGAATCAAACTTTTAAGTCACAAGAAAAAAGGAAAAGATCACCACTCAAGAAGCCCTTGATTGTTAAACAAATTCTCTTCGTCAGCGCCTCAGGAAATGTATGGAAAACAGTATAGAGAATATACATACTGATGTTGAGGTGTAAAGGTTACTGTTAATTCTCCTTACCATCTGCCATAGAGTTCTTATGATGTTAGTTTGGAGAATTTGACTTTGGATAAACTTGAAATAACCATAATTAATAGTTTTCTCTTGTCCCATTACATCAATGTCTGCTTGATAATGTAATGATATTGTAAGAAGAAATTCTGTCTGGGTCAATCATGGGAGTTAAAGGGTCTAAGGATTTTCTCCAAGTAATCTGGTTCTCCTACCCCCACAAAAACCAAAAGTTAGGATTATTTATTGACCAGACAAATCATAATATAAGTGCAGCATAAATATTTTGCCCCTCATGTTTTTTTTTTCTTTATTACTTATTTTACTAATAAAAATAGTCTGGGTCTGTGTTAATCATCCCATCTATCTGGTGTAATCCTCTAGGAGTAAAATCCAGTCTAGACCATTATTACAGGTTGACATTTTGAGAAGGGGTCAAAAAGATTTCAAAGCATGTCAACAGTTGAACAAATAGATTCCATGCTGCCATCTGTCTATTCTGTAATAGATCACAGATGAGGTCCAAATGTGGTTATAACAAAAAAGTGGCACACAAGGCGCAGCCAAGTGTGTCGCTGATTCTCTAACTGTATTGACATCTTTCTTTTGTAATCTATTACTACAAGACATGAAGCTATGTCGAATCTCTATTTGTTTTATATTATAAAGAAGAAAAATGTGGCCAATGGTGAGGACATCTATGTGTCTATCTTCCAATGGATTATAAGTAAGAAATGATCTAATGCGTGAACTATTGATCTTATCTATGTAACAATGATGTCTACTTCAGAAGAAAAAAATTAAACAATGAAAGATTTGAGCACAGAAACCACATAACAGCCTGATAGATGAACAAACACAGTTTACTTTTCCAACATGATAGACATCGTGTCACAGCATCCACTATCACAACATAAGAATATTTCAATTTATTTTACGATGACATTTAATGACAAAGAAAAAGAAACATACCTTTCTCCAGACCAGGGCCATATGCTTTGATTCTGCTGGCATCAACAGCAGGAGCCACTTTAACATTGAAAGGACTGTTTGGAACCTGAACTGAACTCCAGGTGACACTGACAACATACTTTCCGAATTTGCCAGGATAGTAACAGCAAGAGTATGTACCATCTCCATTATTCTTGACATCCACTTTTTCTTCTCCAAGGGGACCCTCCACAAACACATCAAGTTCCCCATCACCAGCTGCTTTAGCATCAACTGTGAAGGGTGCTCTTTGTCCAGCCTTCAAGCCAGATGGTTCTACACCTATTTGAAAGAGTAAAGAATGTACTCTTTGTAACCTAACTAATTCACACTGTCATTTTAAGTTGGTGTCACAACATAATGAAATACTATTACATTCCCACAACTGGTTGACTAATATCCTACAAATCCCACACAGCTTATTTCCATTCGTTGACTACATACACTTTTTTATTAATAATTTTTACCAATCCAATAATTTATATTTACAACTCAGTGTTCATTCATCAAGATGTGAAGCATGCAGCAAGTTTGGAGAATACAGAAGATGGATTAGAGTTGCTTGAGGTGTAGCCAAGAGCTTTTAACTGTTCTCCAAACTTCCTTAGTGCTTCACATATTGATCAATGTGAAGCTGACATTTGAAACACTTTTCTTGTATAAGTGTAGTTTAACTTGTATGAGGGATTAAACCTGAAGACATTTGGAGAAGCTTACCTACACCAAACACTCGAACCTTGGATGGGATTGGTTCAACTCTTGGTGGACTGACCATGACCTTGAAAGGGCTCTTGCTAATGGGCTGCCCTCCAAACATGACTTTAATGGTGTGTTTTCCAGCATTAACTGGTTGGTATTCTACAAAGAACTGGCCATCTTCTTGTGGTTCAATAATAATGTCAACATCTTCTCCACCACGGGGGTCAATCACTTTGACAGACACCTGTCCTTCACCTGCTCCTTTTGTGTATACTGTGAAGTCTGTGTACTTGCCGGCTTGAATTCCTTCAGGTTGCAATCCTGGACCAGAAGCATAAGCTTGGCTGGCATCAAGGTCTTGACCAACTTCCACTCGGAATGGACTCTTGGGAATATGCCGGCCATTCCATTTGACATGCACATCATATTTTCCTGGTAGGGCAAAAAAAATTCAGAGAATGTCCATGATTAGGACCAAATTTTTTAAGCCATGGGAAACTATAAGAAGTAATTTTAAAGCAACCTGCCATGCCCTGCCATCCCCCCACAATGCCTTGTGATATTGTTTTACCCCCCCTTCAAGGGGAGTAAATTGGCTGTCAATTTTTTATAGTCTCTCCTTTATACTCTGTTGGTGATGACTGATCTCCCCTCCCTTCTCTCTGAAAGTCATGTGATCCCCCCTGAAATCTTTGCCCCCACAGGGAATAATTAATAATGGATCTCTAACAAAAGCATCATGCATTGATATTATGGAACTAACAATGATACCTTGTTTCTGTGGGAAGTACTGACATGAGTAGGTATGGTCTCCATTATCCTGTACAATAACTTCCTCTTCAACCTTGCCTGGTCCCCAAACTGACACGGCCAACTTTCCTACTCCTGCACCTTGTGTGAACACCGTGAAATTGGCTGGTTTCTTTACGACAAGGCCTTTAGGCTCCACACCAGGACCTTTGGCAAAACACTTTGCTGAGGGATGTGTTCTGGTGCGCAGAGGAGCACCAGGTTTGAGTTTTGCCTCAGGAAAGTATGAGACATATGTCATAACACTCAACTCATCCACCTTTGGGTTGGTAATTTCTTCTGGTGTAATAACCTGTATATTTGCAAGGAAATAGTACATTTAAGATGCAGAATCAAGCACCAGGACTTTATTAGAGAGTATAACAGGGTAATTTAGTATTAGCAACTGAGTTGATAATGCAAATTAGCCACTGTAAAGAGCTTCAAAGCTGACATTTCAAGCATAAGCCTTTCATTGAACACAAAATGTCAGCTTGAAACTCTTTACAGTGGCCAATTTACATTACCAACTCAGTTGATAACACTAAATTACCAAGAATAAGGATATCACCAATTAACCTTTTACACCCTAACATCAGAATGTATATTCTCCACACTGTTCTCTTAACATTTCCTTAGATACCAACATGGGGAATTTGTCCAACAATCAAGATCTTCTTTAGTCAGTGATCAGCTCCTTTATTCTCCTGACCTTAATGTTTGATTCAGGGGTGATATGGTGAGGAGAAATTAGATGCCAGTCACTCTTGGGAGTTAAAGGGTTACAGACAAAGAAGTCTGTCCACATCCCCTCTCATATTCCTCACCTGTGGTACACCAAGCCAGTCCTCTGCTGCCTGCATTGCAGCTTTTGCATTTTCAAGTCGATCTTCTGGATCTAAATCCTCGCATTCTGGGAAAAGGCCAGGAGCTACAGCATCCACCAGACAAGCAACAGCTCGGCCATCATTCCAGTCCTTGTTGAAATTGTCCATAGGAACAGACTCGGGCATCTTGCTTTTGACCCATGCAAGAAGTGCTTGTTTTGGGGTCATTTTTTCACCCACATCATCATCATCATCAAGATATGGCATGCTGATTTGATACTTGAGAATTAATGTCCATACAAGACCCAGAATCAATTTGATATTTCCTTTAAAGATATCACTGGCATCTGTCATGGAAAAGGACAAAAAAATTAAATATTTTGGAATGATAGCTGCTATTACTCCAAGCACCATTATTAGTTTCTATGAACCTTTCTTAGTAATTAAAATTTATCTACTGATACTACAAAAAACTACCAAGGTCTAGCAAGGAGAATTCATAAGACAGAAACAATTCGTTTATCTGCAGTTCAAACGTATGACTTTCATATATTCAAAGTCATTTATTCACCACTTCACAGGTTTATTTGGAACCCACATAATGACCAGCACCCAGTTGGCTTGTTCGCTCAGTTGGTAGAGCGCTGCACCGGTATCGCAGAGGTCATGGGTTCAAATCCTGTACAGGCCTGAATTTTTTTTTCAGGCCTTATTTTCACTACTGCTCAAGTAGTGTTGATTAAGATCACTTTGATATTCACGACTTATTGATAATGTTGTACTAAAAGAAATTATATTTTAAGAGCATAAAAACAGTGATTTTATTAACATCATTTTTAAACTGTCTCAGTATGACCAATTGGTGAAATGACCTTCAAAACAATTTTAATTGGGAATATATCTTATTCATTCAGCTATGCCTCAAAAATCAAAGTATAATAATAATAATCTTCAATTCGAACTTTTATTTATGTTTAGACATTAATTACAGAAAACATGATATGGTCTTTTATTTCAAGTCCTACATTCCTGAATACCATCACGTCTGAATTTTGTTGGCACTTGCATAATTTGATTCCTGAATCAAGGTCAATACACATATTTAGGCCTCAAAAAAAGGTGTTAATAAGACTTGTCCTGCTCAATAGTGCATTATTTGTGGTACATTTAATAAGAATTCAGCCTGAAACGGTCCTCCTTACAGCCATCACTACAGTTTGATTGAACAGACACCTTAGAGCTGAATAGTTTAGCACATGTGAAAATGGAATGAAAAATATGTTCTTAATCTTAAGTGGAGTCAAGTGAACCAATTTTCTTGATGAAATATAACCATGGAGCTTTAATTTGAAATTAGTGTAAAAATAGATAGCTTTATTAGTTCCCAAAGCTATTGAAATTAATTTGAGTAATACTGTTTTTCATGCAGAGTTTGGTTAAGTGTAACAATACTAAGGTTGCCTACCCACTGATGCTTAGCTTTTATCTTTCAAATGACAAAACAAGATTGTTTTTTAACTGTACAACAAGCTCCAAAGATCATGGATTCCCCACCAAGGAACCTGTGGGTTTTTAGAATTTTTTTCACAGAGAAGAATGTCCTGGTTTAAGATTAATAAGTAAACAAAATACCAATTATTAATTTCATGGTTCAATTCTTTAAATGGCATTGTATCTGTTTAATGCCATCAGAAAACTAAACATGCTCCATTCACAAAGGAAACTTATGCTTTAAGTCTTAAATTAACGTAGGTTAGCAGAGTTCAACAAATAACATAATACCAAAGTCAATTGAAAGTGAGTGCTTAATTTTGTAATTTAAAAGAAAACTAATTTCTTGAAATGTGTTACCAAGAAACATTGGTATACAACACCAACATCATTTAATTCTTAAAGTTGACTTCTATTAAAAAGGAAACAAAACCAAAACGTGACTTCTTATTTCAGTTGTCGAGGGATAAACAACATGTGATGAGGTCACATATGGAAAATATCAAGAAAAAAGAACTCACTTTGGGTAATTAGAGGATCAAAGTTCTCTTCAAAGAGTGGAAAATAAGTGTTAATTACTTAGATGTGTGAAAAAATTAATTATACAGGGAATTCAAGAAAAAAATCCCCACTATTAACACCAAGGTTTTTATGTAACAAGTTATTAAGGACTGCAGTAGTTAGAAATTGATATTATTAGCACCTCTCAATTAAGCTTGGTTGAAATTTTGAATTTAAATCTTTTCTCAGTATTGGGGAAGAAAAAATTACTTACCTCTAGCAATTTTGAAATTGTAGAAGGCAAGGATAAAAAAAATAATAGAGCCAAAACAAACAAACAGAATTACAATAAAAATAATTAAAAGGAGTAATGAATGAAACACTTTAAGAAGATTAACATTAAGGCTGTGATCCAAGATGTTTTTAAACCAATTACTAACAATGAAGATTAGAAATTGATACAATTTTCTCATAAAGATATTAAATTATGTAACAGTATTACCATACAAACTATGAAAAACCTCACCCACACAAAAAGGAAAAAATTCCCTTTCTCTTTACAACATTGCAGGAATGTCTGTGTTGTAAAGCTGTCTGGTAGTTTTACAGTGGGTCTTATATAATTTTTACTTTATTTTACAGATACCAGAAAATTATTTTTGACAATGCATATCTCAGAGATATGAAAAAATATAACATTTGAAAGATGCTGCAGACTATATCTAATACTGACAGTATTCTATGATGGCAAACAGAAAATTAAAACATGAGAACACGATAACATCACTGGAACTAATTTAGACTTCAAACTCCCAAAAGTAATGCAAGATCAGTAGTTTTCTTGTTGTGGTAAACACTATTTTATGGGTAAACAGTCAAACCAGACACTTAAAAAACTTGGGAGGCTATTTTTGTCTAGGTTTCCCATTTTTTTTTTTTGTCTCTAATAAGATATTCATAATTTCACACAAACTTCCTCCCAATTTGAATTCAAGTATCTTCTAGAAGTTTTTGGAAAAAGGAAGCACATCCAATTTTACATGTATTGTGTCCTAGAAGCATAAAAGTCAATTGTTAGAATATTGATTTATCAATTTAAGGATATCAAACAATTTGTTTCGTAATATTCATTGATATTGTTCACAAACTTCAAGAAGACAAGCTTCAAGAAGGAGGAGGGCTTCATATATCATGTTTTTCTCAAATCTTAGCTTTTCAATTTAGATATCCACTGCAGTTTTCAGTTTTTCTCTGTCAAAATTTGGCTTCAAGTTTTTAGGAATAGATAGAGAAGTCTTTGCCTTTTGTTTATTTGCTTATCTTTAAAAATTTCCACCTCAGGCAACTTTGTGGTTTTAGCAAATTTTTCTCCTTTTTCAGTTTCAATAGATACTAATGGACACTCAAAGGGTCCACACTCTTGAAAGTTCAGTTGTCTCTTGCATGAAATGTCGATACTTAAGCAATGTATTCCATAAGGAAATTCACATTTTATGATATTGTTACCAAAACTTTCTGAAGTAATATACAGTACTGACAAGCATAAACAAAAGCTGTGGCATTAAAGGGGTGTGTTTCTCATCATGCAACCCTTTAATTCCCAAGTTATGAAAGCTTATTTTTTTCTAATGGACAAGTGCACAACTGCCCTTGGTTGTCCTTGGGAAATTTAAGTTCTATCCAGAAAATATGCCTTTTTTAAAATTTTCCCTATTCTCATAACCTTCCTGGTTAAGAGTGAATTCAGTCAGTAAAGAGAAGTTTTAAGTTAATCACTCTCAAAATGTAAAAGGGGTTATTCAACTTTCAAAAAGCTAGAGAAATATTTTGAAAGCATGCAACATGATACTTCTCTAATTGACTTTTGAAACGTATGTTTAGCCAACAAACAATGCTGATGTTCAGCTGATCACAGCAAGTTTATTCAAGTTATTGAGACCAAACTTTTATGGTATTTAAGATCCAAATAAATGAAACAAGTCCGAGATTCCATTTGAAATTCCAAACAGATTATTAACAAAGGTAATTGCACTTTTATTGTGTTTAGAGATATCTTGAAAGATCATTCATTAAACTTCTGTCAAAGAAGACTCCAGTAGTTACATTGTGTTTGTAAATAATTGCATAGTCATGTTTGAGGTTTAATTGTCCATTTACCGGATAAATCCAGTGAATAAAAATCTGGCAGTCGACTCCATTACTTGGTTTTATTTTGCGCCCAGAGTAAAAAAGGCGGGGAGGAAATGCATTTATACACTTGCGAAACGCGAGGTTTCATGCACGAGTTAATTTTGTATTTGAATTTTAAATCTTACATGGATCAGTGCGGCCGAACCCCCAAGATGTCTACAGATATTACTAGTATTCGCTGGAGTTTCATAATTTGCAGTGCATCAAACAACTCATTTCTACCTTATTTGTGATCGATGTCGTAAATTGTACGCTAAATCACCGTTTTAAACGATAAACTTTAATCCAGAAGTTTCGAGAGATTAATTGTTGGTCAACTCTCACTTCATGTTTACACGAGTTGAGCTGAATAGTAAACGATTACTCGTAGGTTTTGAAACAAGAAAACTGACACTCTTTAAACTTACGAAACCAGACATTAAATAAACAGAGTGAAATTTTTTGTAAGACTGCTACGACGGGCAGACCAGCACTTCCAATTGTGCAAGTTTTCTTGGTTGTGATAGTGTGATTTTATAATTAAATTTGCGCTCTTTGGGAAGATTTCAAAGGAAATCGACAAGCTAGTCGAATGGAACACACGATCGAATAGTTGATCGCGACCTCAAGAGTTCAAAAGAATTCGGCATTTATTTGAAAGACAAGCAAGCATTCAGAAATCTGACAAAAAAACCGCAGATACTCATCAGAAATTAAAGTCAGCCTGAAGATAGTTGCAAGTACAATTACGACCTTTGAAAAATTTGCGTGCTAAGATCTGGTGAACGCCCTGGCTACATGGCATACAAGAACGAAAGCTTTGATAAATTTTTCCAGCTTTAACCAAAATAATACCAATTGTCTTCGGCGATAAATCATTCGGCGTGCTTTCCTCGCGGTCGCAGTCGAACAAACAGACGAAACGGCCAAAAACGACCGCTCTGTTAGACAACAGCAAATTTGAACAGTCTGCATTATTTCTTGTAATGTCTGAAGTAGGCAGAAATGACTAAATATGGTAGTGTGGTTGTAACGCCGAGTCAACCCATATTTATGGCACTCACAAAAGCGTTATCTGACTGTTCTGTTTTAAAGATTCCATCGACCCGATCAAAAACCAGCTCAAAAATATTGACTATGTTAAGGTTGTTTGTCTATAGCGGAGTTAAAAAGGTCTTTTGCCACAAATAGCAAGACAAATACTCATACGAGAGAATGTAACACTAGTGGTGGTCGTAAAGATTTTGCAGAATGGAATTCTGTATTCATTTATAAGGAATAATTACCGAACATGTTTAGCTGCATTTATGCAAAAAAAGATTGAATAGGGAGGTAGCTGTACTCACCGATATTTACAAGTCGAATGTTCTCGCTCTCGATAAACTTGAGTGCTATGGAAATGTTCTCCATTTTTTGAGGTCTAAACGATGGCTTCTTGTTGTATTTAGCGATTTTCTTGTGCGAGAGGACCTGCAGTAAGGCTATAAGCTTTAACCCGTCGGCTAAGTCTGTTTCCAGATTGTAAATGTATTTGTTAACACACTTCAGATGTTCGTTGCACCATCTTGTGAACGTGTTTTGTTGAATCTTTTTCCACTCGGCATCCGAGGCCGTGGGATCTGTATCGGGCATTTTGGTGTCGATCTACAAGGATAATAAAAGTGTCAACTTATGAGAGACAACTACAAGCTACCTTAGTCGCTTTGTAGTTGGAAGCTTCAAGAAAAGACGCCCCGAGCCCGCCAATCGACGGGAATATATGGATCGTCCAACCTGTCTTCTGTAGTCAGGCCGCGACCAATCAAATAGTTTTTGAATTATTCATGTTTATACTTCATACATAAAGCTGACGGACAGAGATACATAATTAGGCGTCAAGTGTGTGATTCTTACGTCCATTTTTGTTGACTTGATCCCTAGAGGTTTAGAGAGGGATGTTAATCTTCTTGCGCTTGACACGCACCAATCTGTTCAGCCCGAATAGTTCTCACACTATTTTGTGCCAATGCACCCCTTTGACACAGGAACCGCTCCGTTAAACTGAATGCCGAATATTTTGGGATCTCGCTCTCCTATAGGACATCCTTATCAAGAAAAAATGCACTGAAAGCCAATAAAAATCCAACATAGAGGAAAGGCGTGTAAGTTGTCACGAACAATAAGACTGCCGCAATTTGATCGCCTGGTAAACAAAAGTTGCTTCTCAAGAGGGCAGATTTGAGTCTGGGATATTTGTCACGCAACGCTCGATGAGAAATGTTGTGTCTTACCAACTTTCTGGTATCGCTTGGCAACATTTGTAATCCTTCTCACTTCGTTTTCTCGTGTAATTTTCACTCTGTTGTAACAAAAACAATCTTGTCAACAAACGTCAAGTTTGTTTATCTCTGTTACCGCAACGCCATCACACTCAATCATCATAGGAGAAATCGTGACTGAAAGACACTGCTGTTTCAAAACATTGATTAATCGACAAATGTTTTATTCATTTTGAAATCAAAGCATATAGAGTTGACAAATATGAAGTATTATTTCATGGAGAAAAAAAATTAAGAGATTGCGACCAAAATATACGCTGGCTCAAAGGACAGATTCTAAAGATGTAAAGTGAAGACCCCTTGTGGCTTCCAACTGAATGAATTATTTCCATCTTTTCAATCTTACTGGTGGAGAGTTTGGTTTTGCACGGAAACGGCGTCGATTTTTCAGTAATTTAGAAGAGCACGTAATTTAAAATATCATCGGAAACTGAAATTAGGAACACATTAGTAATTGCTTTTAACTCGTGACTTGAAAAAGAAACAGATCTGCAGAAGTATTGCGTGACATGAATGCCTTTTGTTCTTAACGAGAGTTCAATGGGTCACGCGACCATTTCAGCTGAGGGAAGCTCTTACGTATCATGTTTCATCATATACTATTGCTAAAATTTCAACTATCAGGAAGAGCCAGGTACCTATGTTAGTGCGTCACAATTTTGGGAGGAAGCTTACTTCATGTGATTAACATAATATTTATCAATCAGATGTACATATTTTGGTTGAACGATCCCAAAGGAACGATAAAAGCTTATTAACTTTAAAAATCACTTCACACTCAACGTTCTTTTCTATTTAAGTACAATTTTACGTGATGCTTAAAAAATTTTCAGGAAGACTGTTATTTTTATAGTGTTTAAGGACACAGGAATAGCCTTTTTCCGGATTTTAATCCCTGCAATTGGTAATTTTTTTGAATTGTTTTTGTTAGGTTTGCTAAGGAAATTCTTTTTTTACGAATTCGAAGAATTTCTATAATTTTGGACATTTTTTCTTAAATTGTCGATAATTTTTAGCCTTCTAGGTACTTAACATTGTAGACAAATTAATTATAAAGTCGATTGAGGGTCATTTTTTGAGTTGTGCGAAAGTGCCTTCGTTATTAAATAAGACAACACTTTAGTTTGATAATACTGAAAAAAATGTTAGAGTAACTGATGAACGAAAAAGGTGCCAGGATGGCCAGGAATGGACGAGATTGAAACGGATTGCTAATAATATCCTTGAAAAATTGAGAGTAAAATTTTCACGAACCATCTACCATGACGTAGCCTCATAACAACGGAAATCGCGTTTCGAGTGCGTTTTGCAACATAGTTTATCTTCGTCATCCCAATTATCGCTTATCCAAAACTAAACTACCACCTCGCCAACGCAGATCATACAAGGTTTGCGAAATGCGATCACATCTTTCCACACCATAGCAAAGCAACTTGACCTTTGTGACCTTGAAAAGAAAGGACGTGATGAGGAATTCAAAATATGGAAATGATCGGCCCCTCCTTCGTAGTTTCGGTAGGGGCGTTTTTCCCCAATCCGTTAAAACAACGAAACGAATTTTCGAGAACATGTCTCAACAACCGATCATAATTTGTTCTTTTACGGAAGTTGAAATCATTTTGCGGAAAGAGGCGAATAATAATAAAAAATACCACGAATATTTTATAAACCGCTCCGGGATTTGATATCACACAAGATAAAATTAATACGGTGACATTTTCAGGGAAATTCAGTGAATTTTAATTTTTCTGGTGTCAAACCTCTCTTTTTTTTTAAATTGTGCAAAAATTCCCCCAGGTGAAAAACAGGAAACAAGACTTGAATCGAAAATTAATTTGACATGGAGTTGTGTTTATTATCATAATAATTTCATACCCAGATGCTTCTAAATGGTGCAGGCCCATGCCGGTAAGATCCAGAAAATTCGTAAATCATCTCTTGAATATATTGAAAAATATGTACTCTATCAATTCCAGTTTAATATTGTGGGATGCAGCCCGCCCGAAAACACCTTAAAATACCCGACCATGCGATGGCCACAGACTTTCCACATCACTTTAATGAATAAACCTTTTGTAATTTTTTGTAATACAGCAGAACAGTGAAATAGCTCATAACCGATCATACGAAGTGTTAGAGGCAGCCATGATATAGGCTTATGTCGCTTATAGAATGACTGACGTTTCGATAATTAAATTACAGCGGAAACGTTATATGAACAAAAGCTTATTTTCGTCCGACATTCACAATTGAGTCACGCAGCCAATGAAATTGCCGCAAAACTAACCCATCACTTCCACGATACAGACTTACAAGACCTTACAGCATTGATGTACTCAACTGACAAACAGTTTCTTACTATACTTGTGTGATTACTTTCTTTTTGCTGATTATGTCATCTAAACGTTAGTCAACAACAAACACTTTTTTTTTAATATACAAATTTTTGTCTTAATAACTGATCGATTTCAATTTTTTTAACCTAGATTCCGATCAACTGAAGCTTCCGAACGTTGTAAGGCGCCATGAACTCATGAATATGCCACTGTAGAAATCCTAAAATCATTATCATTAATATAACTAAAATTATTACGCATTTTCAGGACAAGCACGATATTGTTTATTCCTTGTTTCAAACCATTTACAGAACATGCGTTATACTCCGAGATCAATTGCTTTTTTTTTTTTTTTTTTTTGCTTTTTGGGGCCCATTTCAAGAATCGTGAGGACGCGTACGATCCTATCTCTGCTTTTGAAAACTACTAAATAAGAGAAAAACAAAAGTCGAATGCTTAGGAATAGAGATGGGGTGGGGTGAGGTGGAGATGGAAGGGGAGTGTTATTGGTCTCATACATTGTAATCTAGGAGTGTCACGCAACTCGCGAAGTAATTATTAAAGCGTGACACACAAGGAGCACAAAGAAGACCTAATAAATTGCAATAGAAACTGAAAACTCAAATGAACATCGTTTGTCTAGAAAGTTCCAACAGGAATATACGAGTGCTACTTGGACAAATGATCACTCAGAAAATATTGAGCCAGGTTTCAAACGATAATTAGTTGCAAAAATTACGGATTGATAGAGGCACACAACTGTCAGGAAATAAGATTATTCACTATTGATCAAATGACTCTCTTTGGATTGCCAGGAAATTGCGCCAAATGCGGCCAGTGTAGAATTTGGAGCAGGGAATATTTTTTCTATTAAAAATGAAAACATCGCTGAAAAGACCCAAAGAAGATCAACTTTGTCAGAGAACGTTTCTTTAATGAATCAACTGATCCTCGAGCCAGCGTTTGAGTGCTAGGTCAATTTAACCCACAAGTTTGACAAGTTTCCCTTCGGTTAGATTTCCCCGGCTGTGTTTAAATGGAGGAATAAGAAAAAATTTACCTTGAAAACCCGACTTTCCTAAAAAATTTGGAGGTAGACTTATCAAGCACAAACTGGAATTTGAATAAACAGACTAAATTTCCTGATGTTTAAGACAGGAACTCGCGGAGGGCCTTTACAGGGAATTATAAACGGTTGAATTAAATTCTAATTTTGCAAGTTTGTATTTGAATTCAATTGTCGTCTTCAACTCATCTCAGCGAATTCATACAGCAAACAATATTACCTTGCCAGGAGCTTTATTTGAGGAAAGCTCGTCAGCGTGAATGCGACTGAAATTTGGTTTGAAGGACATGTTTACATTAACATAACAAACACCGGCCGAGTAATACTACGTTCACCACGGTCGAACAGTTCTCCTAAGTTAGAGATCATTAGAAACTTTATATTTCAAACTTCTTTCAAAAGCAAAGTTACCTGACATGTTAGACGCCTTTTCTGAGGTCCAAAGTAACCGCTTTGTCGGAAATAAACGAGAAATCATTTCGTGTGCCTAATAGATCATTAACCTGAATACAAACTTGTTAAAATTCTACCTGACCGATTTTTCATTAACCTCTTGAGTTTGTAAGATGAAAATAGACATTCTCCTTTCTGTTTGCCGTACACATCCTTTTACATAAGTTCTGAGAATTTAGTTTCGAATCAAAACATTATTCAAGCTTTGATAATTTATTCTGTCTACTGCTTTATTTATCGCAATGGAGAAGAGATGTTTGAATTACAATTTATTCAAACCACGAATCAAATTGGCCTCTGACTTGTGTCTATTTTCGCTACTATTAATTTACTCTAATGTTAATATCGGCCGGAAATGGAAAACGCGCTGATCTTTGAATTGAATTAAATTTTGCAAGCCTTGTCAAAGGATTTCGACGATTTGTGTTTGGAAAACTAGACGCGATACAGGTGTCAATCTCTCCCTGTAATGTCGAGTTCCTGTACCTCTACAGATATTAATATTCTCTCCTATAAATTGATATTCTAACGTGCGATGCTGAATTCTCTTCAAACTTGTAGCATCGTCTCAAAGAGTCTGTTTTCAAACAGATTATAATAACAGAGCGGGTAGTCAGGTGTAACGTTGTCATTGCTGCGTCTGAGGGTGAACGAGTGGAGACTCAGTTAGAACTTGGAGGCCTAATCTTAACCCCTTCTTCCCTCTTTAAAGACATTTCTTTCTCTCCCTAGTCTCCCTCTACTTTGAGTATTCAAGATGGCGGTCACCTACTTTAGGGGGTAGTGCTTAGGAGTCGCTTAAGGACCGCGTTTGGTCGCCAAAACACCCTTGCTCTGTAGATCATAACCAAGTTTGACAAAAATGTCTCTTCCATATGAATTAAGAATCGTGCATGAGTAAATTAAATTCTGCATCTGCCGCGTAAAAAAAAGAAGGGAAAGAGAGAACTTGTGGGAATATACAGTACATTTTTTGCCCCAAATTTTCAATGACAAGCACCTCGACAGACATTTGCAGAACCTTTAACTCGAAACAGTTCACCCCATCCAGCAAAAGGGTCGTGTTTACGCTCAGTGAGGGGATAGCCCCTTCCTCGGCTATTTATCCTAGGAATTCTGCGTGAAGGTGAACTTGACCTTCCGTGTAAATTTTCGGATTCCAGCACAGCATGTTAATCACAGTTGAATTAATCAATGAATGATATAAAGAGATCATTTTACGACGGCGATCTCAGTAAAGATTTAAAAATCGCTGGTGCGAGATCGCCAATAATGATGTCATAGACGCCATCTTGTTTCTAAGGTCTTTCATTTGGTCACAAAGAGGGAAACTGGGAACGTGATTCTTTGAACTCCTGGGCAAGGTTAAAATATTAGACCTCGACACTGAAGCGATCAGGCTTAAAATCTTTTTTGAACCTGAATATTAAGCTTTTTTTGAGACTTCGAAGGAAGAGTTTTCAGTTAAGTCAAGGGAATAATTATTTTCATGTTACGTGATTCGGATCGGCAAGGGCATTCGCCAATATACCATCAATTCAGTATCTAATTAAAAAATCATCCCTTGCATGAATTTAATAAGTTTCAGCGCACACGCTGATACACAAAATCCATACAGTTGGTGTTGTATTTGGTTTTTTTATAGATTAACATTCTTCCTCATGTACATGGCAGTGAATACAGAATGAAAAAATATTTATAACCCCTTAACCTGAAATCCAGTACGCTAGTCGCGGAAACACCTGCTGAGCGTTGAAATACCAGTGAAAACTGTTTGTGTTTTCATGAACTATTATTTTTATGACTACGGGATTTATGAAATCTTTTCAGAAATTAGAGAAAATTTTATGTCAGAAAGTTCTAGTCTCATTGTTTAATGCGTGAGTTTTTAGGATGATGTTTGCTTTGGGGAACGCACCATCCGTAAGAATAACAATATTCGTTGCATTTATTAAACTTTTTCAGGCTCCCAGCCAGTTGTGAGAGCAAAACAGAGGGTGAGCGACAAACCGCAGATGGCGTTCTTTGCTCCAATATCACCAAAATAGGGCGTTTTTATATTTGCTCCGATGGTTTGTTTTGTTGTTAATCCTCGATTAAGATTGATTAGAATACACTCTTAATAATTGAATCATTTAACAAAGAAGTTGAGCATTTCGTAAGGATCACTTTCTTGGCGTGAGAGTATGCAATTATATTGTGCATGGGAAATAACCTTAGACGTCAAAAAAAATCCAACGAAAAATCTGGATTAAATTTCTTGACATCTGGTTCAATCAGAAAGTGTCCTTGGGAAAAAAAAACTTATCATGACCAGCTCCTATGACATATGGAAGAGTCAAATGATGATCGAATAAAAGGCAAAGCGAAGTTTTACTTCGTTGACTGATATGATAGACTATGCTCACGTAAGGAGTGCTGCATGGCTTCTAAAGGGCACAAATACGAAGGAAAGTAATTATAGGTCGCTTGAAATAGCTAGTTCCACTTTCCCTCTGATAAACACTTTCCCGTGAGAGAAGCACTTAGGTAGACATCGCTCTCTTTCATAATTAGGCCCCTGAGTTTAATTAAAATTGCGACGCAGGAAGGAACTACGTAAACAACATCAAACATGGAGGGGCTGATAGCTTTTGCAATCGCTAGGAACGCACTAGAACGTGGCTACGACGAAGCTAATCGTCACCAACTTTCCTTGCCGTCATCGAGAACTTTACAGTGGAACTGGCACTATTGCGCCTCTTTAAAAATAGCTTTGAAAACAAGTGATATACTATCATATCGCTATGGCACTTTGGCTGAGCGTTGCGTGACAAAACGTGACAACTTGCGCAGGGCAATTAAATTTTGCGCTAGGATGTCCAAAGTACAGCTTTAGATCTCATTCCTTAAGGTTGCTCATAAAACGGGGTTCTGGCTTTACAGTGCGTTTTTTTTTAGGTTACAGTTTTGTTGCGTGACAAGGTCAAACAACGGCTTCTAAAGAGTTTACCGTCCGACGAGGTCTACTTCAGACCAAGCAAGTGTTATATCAAAATCGCTTTTACAACAGCGTGTTTAGAAGGGATCCAGAAGAGGATCTTCAAACATTTTTCCTTTAATTTTGTCTCCCTCTGCAAAGAATTTATCTCCCAAATGATGCGAAAAATGCATGGAATTTAAATTTAAAATTTAAAATCTTTTGCTTTGGGCTACACCGCTCAATCGTCACAAGCATTTGTTGCCCAAACAAATTTTGTTGTTAAATTTGTTTTAGAAAAGTTTCACTGTTTGTTCGTCAAATTTCTGTTTAGCATTACAAAGGTTCAAGGACAGTTTGGGAAGATAAGTCAAACAAAGTGACTGAAAAATCAGCATGAATGTCTCGGTATCAATTTAACCCGTTTACACCCATGACAACTGCAGTATTCATAAATGAACGGGCAAGTTTAGCCACTGGACGATAACTTGACTGTACAATTCTGTCCTCAGAGAGTTCTTAGTGTGAATTTTTCGCGATAAATGACAAAAAATTGTGTGAAAGAGGCTAATCCCATTGCTTACATGTGTTGCTACGCAATGAATAAGTTTAGCTTCCAAAGTCTAATGTCAATACCTAAATAGAACTTGAAAACCAGCCTCTAGAGAGATCCAAAGAATGTAACGACACGCAATTCGATGTTTGGGAAACTCTCTGAGTTTGACCGACGATCGGGAATTAAATGATTACTTGGCCTATTGGTGATCATTGATGTTCTAAATCATTACAGATTCATTCATTTTCTTCTTTCCTTTCAATAATTCAAACTTAGTTGAATTTCCGTGTCCGTTAATGTCTATCCAGTTTTTGCGTCAATCAAAAATGTACCACTTTTACAGTAATTCGGCACTCTCTCTTCCAATTATCATGAAACCCTTTTAGACTATCAGGTCAAATGTGAAGAATTATCATACCTTTTACTCGTTTGATAATTCCGATATTTACCGATCGGCAAGTCAAACAAACGCGGAATTTTCTTTTCAAACTTAGCGCACATATGCTGTTATCTGATTCCCCTACCTGATCGTCTAGGTCTCTGTCGCTGTACAGATACGAAGCAGAAGTTTCTTGGCTGTATTCTTCATACTGCTCGTATCTTTCATCCCTCCATCCACCGGAGGCAGCCGACCCATATCTCGCGTAGCCCTCGTAACTCTGCTTTCGTGAAGAATTTGAGCTATTGTAGCTCTTTCTGTCATATCCGTTTTCTGTGTCTCTCGACATGTTGTCTCCGTCGGCGTCCAAATTCTCCCAGCTTTGAATCTTTTTTGCTATCCTACCCCGCCCTACTGGATTCACTGGGTTCCAGCTATCAACATAAGACACCCGAGCCTTGACGTTATCAAAATCTCCCGTGTCTACATCCCTGAGGCTTTTTGACCTAGATATGGTCTCAGTCTCTTCTCGTTCATTGAGGTATTTTAAGCTCTGGGATCGACCACGGAATCCCGACGATACTTCTCGGTCTCCTTCATCATCGGAGACATTTACTCGGCTAATTTTGGCTGGTTGTCGTGTAATGTTCTGATTCCGGTCGAGGACTGCATCATTCTCGAAAGTATAAGAGGCCATGCTGTAAAAAAATAAGAAAAGGTTTAAGTTAGCATTCGAAAAGTAGTGAACGTCTTTTCAGGGACAGTGCAGATGGATACGAGAGGAAAACGTTCTGCTTTCTGTGTACCAGATGTCATGATTCACTACCAACGATTGCTGCCTCTCATTACCAATCCGATCATGAAATTTCTGTGAATATGGCCAAAATCGCAACCAGGTTTTCGCGAAGAGGCGTATCGTTCAAGTAAGTCTAGACACAAAACTCTGAAAACGCTCATCCAAATGTTTGAATTTGAAAACGCTAGCTTTGGGTTTTTTAAAAGTGTGAACGGAAAACATTTTGAAAAGGAGCTTTCAAAAATGCCAACGTTATAATTCCCTTGCTCTTTTGGCGGAATAATCATGGTCTACTGAGTATGCTCAAAGATGCAGTTAAGGGTTTCTGTCGGCTGTGATCGTTGTCCGTAAACAATTCATTCATTCGTCCCAGTGTCGGACGCAATCTCTTTTTTTGTGCTTTTCCGTTTCAATACATTCGGCGTATTATAGATGATGTCATCTTTGCAACACTCGCATGTAAACTAATTGCGGTTTAAATGATTCAGGAGTATATCCAAGCTCACGACTCCTGTGACTTAATTAATGATTACACCTTTTCCTATAAACATCAGCCGACTCACAGGCTGATTATATGAGTTTGGGTAAGGAAAATAAATTAAACAGTTTTTTTATTACATATCTCTCCGTTCATTCGGTCATATCTTGATTTAGAAAGCGTGGGAGTTAACAATTTTATTTACAGACCATTGAGACAGCTTTGAAACTCATTGCGATGGCCAATTTGCGTTATCAACTCAGTTGATAATACAAGATTGTAGAATCAGTTTGTTACCTGCTCTACACACAATATACTATAAAAAAAATGTTTGATTGTTAAACAATAAGAAACTCGATAAGATTCAGTTGATAGTAGTGCAATGCAATAATCTGACAACAGTATTTTCCCCTCAAAAGACTCGTGTGAAAAAGAACAGCATGGATAGATCAGTATTGAAGAGAAGCGACATAAAAAAGGGGGAATTGTGAAGACTTTCATCGCGCTTTCATCTTCGAGTTTCCAATGACTGTTTAAAGCGGACGCCCCACCTATACTAAGCTTAAAAATTAAACCCGAAATTCAACGTTGAACTTGAATCGAGCTGCCATATAGGAGATTAAATTAACTATCTGCTCTTCCGCGACGCCCTTTAAAACCAAACTGGCTGAATTTGCTAATACGAGTGGAGTTCGCATTCCACGGAAAAGAAAAAAAAAACAACAACACTAACCGACGCTAACATAACGCTCGGATAGCAGGTTATTATGCAACGAAAGTTCCTATTACTTCACCTGAAACTAAACCTTCGATTGGCAGAATTCAGTTTAAAACGTCTCTCCGCTATCATAAATAGCAAGAGGAGCTATGCAGCTGCAAAATGCATGGGTAAATTCTGGAAGATAAAGTCTCTCTGAGGAGAATTGAGGGTTGAAAGTCTCATAGAAAGTTTGTACCTACCTTTAGTAACTTAATTCGTGTTTACGCTTCGTTGCATCCGAGCTCCTCGAACGCCCAACATTGCTGAGTGCAGAAAAACTTGCCAATGATGAAATGCGAAAAAACGTGCGTTTAAAAGGTAAACAAAGCAGGCCTATTTTGGTAAATGACAGCCATATAATTTGTAAAACCACTAAACCCCACTCCAGGAACTCATGAAAGTGTGAACGGTAGGAAAACTCCAGAATTTTTCATATTGCATGTCAATAACTAGAAAAACAAGCGTCGTTTTCAAACAACGTTCGCCAGCTCGGATGTGATTGGTTAATTTTGTTAACCACCCGCTCTGAACAGACGTTATAATCACTGGCAAAAATATGTTAGCTAGCTTTCCTTATCTTGGAAAAATTCCTGAAGAACAAATTGCCAGAAGTATTATTTATGGTGCTGTGTTTTATTTAGCGTAAGTTCACAATCATATTTTATAACTAACAACTTGAAGTTTTGACAAATATTGGCTACATAAAATCAGACGAGGACAGTTTTAAAGGAAGGGAAACAAGCCGTCGTAATTTTATACGCTATTATAAAATATTTGGTTTGCTTACATATAATGATCTATTGCGCTGTACAGATGACATTTTTATCCCGTTGTCAATGAAGTATCTCGCACAAAACGGAGGCATTTTAAGAGACAAGATCGTTCTCCATTCCGTTTTTACAGATCTTCAAAAGTTCACCATTTTAACTTTTAACGTCTAGTTACTTGAATAACTTGATTTTGTTTTAATACAAAGCAAACTTGTAACATAGTCCATAGAGAATATTTTTACCGCTATCGTAAAAGGGAGGTTGCTAAAATTAGGAATAGGAAATAAGGAATGGGGAATGGGGAATGGAGAATGGTGAATGGGGAATGGAGAATGGTGAATGGGGAAAGGGGAACGGGTTTAGTTCAGCTAAAACCGTGGCCCCCAATTATTTTACTTACCTTGCCTAAAAAGTTATCAAAATTTCCACAACTTCGCCTGTTTCTGTTCGTAAGTCTGGCCAAGCCTATATGGGGATTTGCCCCAATCACTGCGTTTATTTTATTTTTTTTTATTCTTTATTGAGAGTGTTGCAAGATTAACATTGCTAGCAAAGATCTCACAAAACAAAGATAAGAACAGCAAAGTGAAATTTTAAAGAACATATTGTAGGTATGGAATAAGACAGATGGTAAATTTCGAACTTGGTAAAGAAATAGGAGAAAGATGTTATACGCCTTGTCACGAGCGTGGGACAAAGAAAAAATCTGAGTTCCCATTCCTCATGGGAACAAGACATGACAAGACGAAAAACATCTTTCTTTATACTGTACGCAAAATGACCGAGGAGCAAGCAACAGATAATGACCGATCCCTTTATTTTAACCTTTTACATTATCACAGCTTCATGTAGTGATCAATGGATCATAAGGGAACCCATATGACCTCTTGTAGTGATATTATACGACATTGAAGTCTTGCACCCTGACCAAGCATTTCAGCCACAGTTAAACAGGTAGGATCTGGGTACGAGAGCGAGTGACTTTCAATATTCTGCCTACACTCAAAAAATTACGTCAATTTCTTAGCAGTTCAAATTCAAGTTGATTTTGGACATTACGTATGAAATCTGGGTCAAATTACTGCTGTAATATAAATAATGATGAGATTAAAGTGGTGCACCGCAAGCCTTTGAGAAACCACAATTTGTTCAAATATTTTTATCTGCAGTGAACTTCTCAGTCCTTTCACATCATTTTTCACGCTTATTCCGGTTAATGTTTCCTTGCCGTTTGACCGCCCTAATCTTGTACCCAGACCTTCTAAGGCCGAGCATTTCAGTTACAAGGTAGAATCTGGGTACGGAATTTTTCACTCAGCGGAAACGGGAAATGACGTCATCAATATCCACAGAAAGTAAACCGCACGGTTTTTTTTAGTAAAACACATATTTCTATATCTTTCATACCATTTTCTTTTCGGTACATTTTCGTTCAGATTTTCTTCTTTTCTTCCATTGTTCGCCTTATCTACTTCTAGAAATCCTTCAAATTATGATAATTTCCCATTTTTCGTTATCATCTTATTGTCTGTCTTTTTTGTTGGTTTGCTTTTTATTACTTTTGTTCAGTCTTTTCCTCGCTCTCGGACAGAGGCGGAGACAAAGTGAGGCGCAAGTTCGTGCGCTCAGTTGATCAATTTCGCTTTTTTTCTTCTCACTGGATTTTCTGTCGCGAATCTATCGATACAGGAAAGCCAACAATTAAAAAGAAAGAGATTTTGCGTTATGTAATTGTCATTTATTTCAGTAAAAACGTTTTTTTTGTTCAAATTAGAGCTCGTGGTGATAAATGTGACAAGACTAAAGCAACTAATCTGCATTTGTGACACGCATGATTAATTATTATAGCGTTCACCAATCAAATGTTTGTGTTGAGTCCATTGTAATCTTGAGTGGCTTGTAAACGTCTTGCTCTTCGGGAATGATAGCACACTCATAAATGAATAGCAAATTTACCTCCTCATTACCGTCGATCGGAGTGGAAAAGACAGAGAAAAGCAAAGACTGCGCGTCCAGGGATAATTAAACGCGTTTATGGCGAGTTTTGTGCGGCCAGATGAAGCGCCAAAGCCTCAACCGCGTTTATCGAAATGGGAGAAAGCAGATATTCGAACTGAACGACGTTCCCGAGCGAGTAAACATGAACTTATGCGCGAAAATATTGCCGACAAACTTCGATGTCCGCTTTGTTTCTGCCTTCCTTGTGTGGTTATCGTCTTTATCTTACTCATACTCATCGGAATCTACGTTGTGCGGCCCTATGTTCAAGGTAAAGTTTTTAGTTTGTTTCAAGTTTTGAGTTCAGTCTGCGGAACTGTTTGTCGTCTGACAGCTTGTCGATTTCAGAATCGTAAACATTATTGTAATTTGCAAGGTAGGCAAGCAAGCTATAATGAAAGCCGTGTAAATGTAAATCTACCGATGGGTCCTCACTTTTGTTTGCTACAGGATTAGTGAAGTGGTTTCTTAAACAACTAGACTTTTTTTGGTAGTTTTTGCGTTACTTCACACGTGCACTTGAGTTATTGCTAAATCGTCGCTCATTAACCTCTACGAATGTTACAAAGAGATCGGCTTTTGTGTTCACGGTTCACATCTGTTGCAGGAAAAAATAGTATAGTTTGCAGGCACTGATCCAAGCAGTTCTTGCAATAAATGAATAGAATATTATGTGTTTGGAAAGCGAATTCTTTTGAGGACATCAATTTGAGAGGTTTCCATGCTATTCCCGATTTCAGTGCGTTTGTTCCACTAGACTGTACTTGTTGTACGCTATAATGATCTCAGAATTCTTTCAGTTCTGTTTACCGCTTCGACGTTAGTCTGTACTTGTACAATGTCGTTTGTTACGGTAGTTTTATGCCGTGATCCCTTGAAGTTTCCTCATGCGTTTGTCATGTGCTTGTCACCTCTACGATGTGGACGACAATTCCTCTGTCGTCCGAGTCTTCTACAGCCTTGGGAATAAAAAGACCTCGATTGTGTAAGCTTTTCCGGCACTTGGCCGATATTAAAGCTTTGAAACCGCATTATTCTGCTATCTGACAGAATAAACAACAAAATTATTCAGCTGAACAATACTATCTCTACTAGTTTAATATCATGATAGTCTAGTCTAACAACTTAGGAACATTTTCAAGCACTTGCTCCTTTGCGTAGGTATTCAGCATTTGTGTCGGTGTATTGCAAAAGCCGTCAAATTGACGCCTACTTAGTGAATTTCAATCTACACTGTGCCTCCCTCTTGTCCCAAAACAATATGATAATCGTAGAGAACCCGTTCTGGGGGTCCACTGTGTCCCTCTCCACCCCCTTGTCGTTTTTTTCGCTCCCTAGAGACCCTTTACTCCTTGGCGACCCATTCTTGGTGATCGAGTCAGAAATGTTACTTTAATTTTATTCCTAAGGTTTTAACACATCTCTGTTTCGACTCTCAAACAGGCAGAGGATTAGTTTCTACCGATTGCGTGGTAACTCATGTAGAGTTTTTTCAAGAGGGTTCCTGCAGTCACCGAACAGAGAAATTCGGCCCCTGCGTCAAAATTTTCGTAAGTATTTGGTATGTCGCAAGATAGGATAGTGTTTATGAATGTTTTTATTGAAAACCATTCAAGGGGCTGCATTACTCTTACCAGCGGAACACAGAAGAGGGGAATTTGAGAAAATTGATGTAAAAATTTAGCGTTACGCAATTTGCGTGACAAGCTCGTGAACGAGTGCTATTTTTTATTACTCTTTAAAAATTCCCCTGATACTCTAGTTAAAGGTGTAGGCGCTGCCCGTTGTCTTTGATCAACGGCGAAGGCGAACTAGATCCATCACTTGAAATCGAGGCAAGGTGATAAAAATTCCATCGAAAAAAATTAATTTTCACGGAATTTGTTGGGCTTTTCTTGAGCTTCTTTGTTAGGCTCCTGAGAGAAATGCTTCTTAAAATAATTCAGATTACTTATGATGTGCTGCGAATCTTTTCAGGTGATGTACGATGTTGGCCAAACAGCAAAGTTTGAAGCGGTTCTCATGGAAAACGAGCAAGCTTTAGTTTACTGCGAAAAGGTTGTAGAACTTGCGTTTTCGTAAAGAAATTTGAGTGCAAAAATTCCCTTGATACCCTAATTGAAGGTGTAGAGTTTTCAGATTTCCATAATTGATAAGAGAAATGGTCTGAAATCTACCTGTTGAAAGCTTCCATTCTGGGCATAGGGGACAAAAATGCGCCCACGAAACAACGCAGTAAGCGAAGAGAGTGTCGCCTGGTAAGGAGTTCTCTGGACGTTATTCCTCTCCAGACCTCTCCCAGATCCCTTCGTGGTTTTTTCCTTCCTATTTCACAAAGTCAAGCCTGTTGACTGCTTATTCCATGTCAAGCTAAGGGGGGAGGGAGGGGGTAGATTTTACATGGAGCCATTGAGGCGCTCTCAGTAAATAGTTCCATCTTACCGTAGTACAGCTAGTAAAGGACCAGAAGCAGAAGATGTCATCTGATTGGTCGAGAAAGTGTTACAATTTTTGTTTAACCAATGATATAGCGTAGTGAGGCAAAACTAGAGCCCTCATTATTAGCGCTGCAGGGCCTGCAGGGGTCCAGTACTAAATATCAGTCCGTTGCTCATGGTCTCATAATTTCGAAGAATCACTCGTGCCGAGGCACCAATAACGATCGCCTGAAAACCAGAGCAGCAATCTTGGATATTTTGACACTTTTGTCCCCTTCCTTGGATAATAATTGAACTTGATGCTCCGTTCTTTTCCTTTACAGTGTTCTTTTACGTTTGGTAACAGTGACCTGTTCGGAAGGTACAGCTCATGTGCTTGGAACTCTGATTTAACCATGGAGGACTGTGTGCCAACATACATGGAGCTGTACGGAACGGTGAGATATAATTAAGGGGTTTGATATTGTTTGAACTGGCATTAACTTGATTCGATCGATTCAGTAAAGAAGAAATGCTCGCGCTAATCTCTACCTGATCATAAAACGACCATCACCAATGATGATGGCATCAAATTTCAGTTTGGGTGTATTGGACAACCCTCCAATTTTCATGTGAAAAAAAGTTGACAATAGTCGAAGAAAGCTTTCCAAAAGATATTTCGAATATAAATTAATGTCTAGTGAAGATAACTTAGTACAGGCAACTTATAGGTACCGGAACAATTTTAGCCTCGAGCAGAGAAGCTAACTGTTCACCCTTAACCTTTGCCTCTTTTTCCAATTTTTTTGCTCTTTATTGAAATCTTGACCAGTCCTTGAAAGGTAACACTAAAATTGTTTCTTTTTTTCAGGTTAACAATACATTTTCGTGCTACTATGATCCTGAAAATACGGAGGACGTAGCGCGCATACTCAAGGTAGGGTTTCACAGCCACCCTCTCCCCAATCCCCTCCCTTGTAGGAGTAATTGTGCCTTACAGGGGCACCATCCGATTCAGAGTTAGTAAACACAGCAATAATCTGTAAAACCTCTTCACTTTCTGAAAAAGTTTAATCAATTGCTGTGGGAATTACTTAAAAATAATTTCGTTTCGAGCGCCAGACCTTTGTGGGAGTCTCGAAGAGGGGCCATTGCTGGAAATCGTTATTTACTTGAAGATATTGATTTTATTGTTCTAATCACGTAACCAACTGTGTGATCTCATTCAGATCTCAAGCGCAGAAGCAGTATGCCTGATTCTATTTCCACTTCTGTTTTTGCTGCTATGGCTTTTGGCTATTGTCTTCCTCGTCTATGACAATCATCTCCGAAGGTAACGCTCCTTTTACTCTCTAGTTTATTTACGTTCGTGCTTAAATCGTTAAATTTTTTCTCATGTCGTCGAAGTGTTCATGAAATGCCGATTTTGTTGAGAGTATCAAGGAGTTTGCAGACATGGTACAAGTACAGTTCGCGCGCTGGAATCCGAACCGAGAGGTCTGGGTTCTAGCCCTGGTCGCTTCCCAGAGCCTATTTCCACCCACGAGTATAACGGTTTGGGAGAATACTTCTCCACTCGAGATACGAATGTACTGGGGCCCCTCAAAAGGGGGGGGGGGGCACTTGACTTAAGGGAAGAAGGGTACTATGACCAGGAGTCAAGTCGTCCCAATTATTAAGTAGTAATGTTGTTTCCTCTCTCCACTGTATACAGTGTCGTTGATGAGCAGATCATCCAAGAGAACGTAAAAGCTAACAAGTATCCTAACAGGGGTGGGGTAAGAAATGGAGGGACTCTGCCGCTGAGCAAGCAAAATGGTGGTTTAGACTTGGATACTTCAACAATTGGAAGCGTGGAGTCGACTGCGGTCAGCGCCAACGCAACACCACGCACGCGCCGGAGGAGAAAGAAGAAAATGCCATGCGCGAGGCAGCATTATCAATTCGACTACCTTGATGAAGGGATTTTACTAGAAGATAAGCCCCTGTCGTATTCAACCGACCACCCCTATAGTTACAGCTTTGTGACTGTAGACACTTCGCCTGTGTGTACATGCAATCACAACGGATTTCAAGAGGCAGGGTTTGATCGATTGCCACAAAGAGATTTATACACAAGTTTCACACCAGCATTTGGTACACCAAACCGAAGCTACCCTTCGCGTTACTCTGGTCGGCCAAGTTGGAGTTTACCAGAGTCCTTTGTATGATCTAACACTCTCATCTCCGGAAGAGTGCTCGTTAGCTTCTGGTTGTTCTCGTTGTTAGGTAGACTATGAGTATTCCCCCCTTCCCCGCTTGATCCCTTGCGCGATTGATTAGCAACTATCCTGGCGGTGCGTGGACCTTAAGATCCAAAACAAACCAACCAAAAGAGCACAAGGAAAAAGACAAAGTCCGTCTAATATTTGTCCGAACCTGCAGTTTTATTTCGAAATCGATCATCCTAGTGATACGTAGAAATCGATAACCGTATATGCAACGTTTGGGATAACGAGACTGCTAGAAAGATGGCTGCAAAACGGCGACACTAATGAAGATGTCGAAAGAGTTCAAATGACAAACTATCTAGAATACGTTTGAAACGGAAAACCCATCATCTATTTTGACTAAATGAGGGTATTTAAGTGAGAAAAAACAAAGAAATGATGAAATAAAATATAAACGTTTAAAATGAATGTTTCCAAACCTGGTTGGTGAGGAATTGATATAGAGCAATACTAATACCATTAGGTTACTTTCCCGTCATCTGCCAAGTAGCGAATTTGATAAAACTTGCCAAGGAAAGCCAAATTAATATAAAATTTGTTTATTGACCTGTAAAACACAAGGTTACCTAGGCGAGACAAAATACCATTCGACGGGTGTTAACAAGAAGAACGATTTTAAAGGCATCTGGGTTTGACGAAGTGAGCTGATTAGTTCTTTTGCAAAAGGTCCCCCCCCCCTCTTCGGTCCCCACTCAAAAGTACACATTTCGATTTAAACTCCTCTAGACCGACTTTTATCTCGATGGAAATAGTTTCAATGATTTTCTTGACTAAGGGTACATAGAATTTTCTGAAAGTAAACATTGCCGCGAGAAAACAGAAAAATAATCATTGATGGACAAAGACAGAGAAAGGGCAGCACACCCTGATTGGAAAACAAAACTTTGTTTCATGCAGTATAAAACGTTTCCAACTCGTACAAGAACAATATCAAATAAAATGGAGCGACGAACGGATTGCCCAATTTGGACATTAATAAGTAATAATTATGGGAGGCATTTTTTTTTTCAAACAAATAATCCAAATAATCCAATTTTCTTTCTTTTAAGAAAGATTATGCAATCCCCCCCAACAAAATCAGGCGCGTCACGCTACGCCCCTTCCTTGTCACAGCACGATTCCCTGTCACGCAAAACCTGTATATAAAGTAACGCACTAGATACGTCCGAAAGAACGCCAAAATTTCCTTTTTCAAAAGAATGAAACGTCTTGGTTGTAATAATACAAAGTATAAGCTAACTAGAGGAAACATTCGTTAACTCCAGAGAACACGAGTTGTTCCACCTGGATGTAGTTCAATGAGACCAAGAGCGTATGCCAAAATGAACGCGATAAATGCCACCAAACCAGCCTTGATGTACGTCCACTGAAAACAAAAAAAATCCAGAAGACACTTTATAAGAATGTGATTCCGGAACTGAATGCGATCAAACCTTACGCTACTCCCATGAGTTTACCTACCCAGGGTTGTCGCTAGGCGCCAGATGAAAAAGGGGCGACCACTGGCTGGTTTGAGCCGGCGATCGCTCGGCAAAGTACAATAACACTCCTGAGCTAAAGCACTTATAATCCTTCAATATCGCACGCCATCTTTGAGCCGCCTCATTTGGTCGGCAGCCTAATTTCTGAGTTTCAAACCTAGCATACCCGATGTGCATATAAAGTTTGGAAACTTCGTCATAAAGGTAAGCTTCCGAGGGGAAATTTGGCTTAAATTGACCTTGTACTGACAAAGGGGCTGAAATTAAAGTTACGCCGCACTGGCAGACTCCCAAGAAGTAAAACGCAAATGAAACTAAACAATTAGATTAGCTCTAGTTGTACTTTTGTGAAGGGGCTACAGGTAGAGCAAAACTCACCAGATGTGAATTCGCGTCATTTAACTTTTGGATATCCCTCTGAGCGTCCTCTTGCGTTTTCTGAAGCTTCACTTCCGTTTCAAGAAGTCGCTCCTCGAGGGCACTGGCCTAAACCACATCAGAGGAATATGAATATGATTGAACACACACGTGACATATTTTTTACGCGCTACACGCCAGTTTTACGCTTTCCTTCGCTGAATACCTGTTTGACTCGAAGTCTTCCATAACAGCAGTCTAACTTCGGTCATGCGCAAAGGGATAAATTTGGCCGGTTACACGCCAATTTCTTCGCGCAAAATTTCAAAGTTTGGATTAGATTTGGTTCATAAGATTGTTAGAAAGTCATCGAAGAGAAATTAATCCAACGAGATTGATTATAACGCGATAAAAGCGTAATTCCCGATCTTGAAAAGCACCATTTAGTCAATAACAAATTTAAATACCTGATCTTCAGTGAGTTTTTTCTCCGTTATTTCCCTTTCAATCTTGCCTTGCAGCGTAGTCTGAAATGACAAACAGCACACTGCTTATACCGCTAACCAAAAACAAGGCCACCTAAACGCATTAGGAAGCACAAGCACCCTTCGATAAAATTGTCAAGGGCTTCACAAACCTGTTGACGCATAATTTTTTCGCTCAAAAATTTGCTCTGGTTTTCGATCTCACGGTACGTTGCTTGAAGACGAGATTGATCAGAGGTCAAGCGGTTGTTTTCCCTGCGGTATCTAAGTTCATGGAAAGAAAAAAACGATCAGATGAGTGAATTAGCTATTGATAGTTTCTATTCCGAAGAATTAATCCGCTAGATTAAAGGATCTTTTCCGCAGTCGTAAAAAACGACAGTGAAAGAGACCTAACAATCCTATGGGATGAGGTCGACTAAAAAAAAGATTGAAATCGAGGAAAAGGGAGCGACTTCGTCATTGAGTTTGGGTATCCTGATGGAGAAACTCAAAAGTTGCGACTCACTTTTTCAGCTCACTCTCCAAGATCTGTATTCTTTGTTTCAGGATGCGATTATCGTCTGTGACTGCACTCAGCTCCACTGTAACAGCAACCACAATAAAAAAGGTTGATTGAAATCAAACTGTAATATTCTTTCATTTTGTTACATTTTCGACCACATAAAAATTTTCAATCACTTGGCACAACAACTCCTTGTGTGGAGCAAAGAAAAACCTGATATCTAAACACCCCACTGAAATAAATCCAGATTTAAAGAAACCATTTTAGTCTTCCTAGACCATTAATGACGTCCCATTTCTTCAAGACAATAGAAATTACTGACCTTTGTTCTTGCTAGCATCCTTCGCACTCTTTGCTGCCTGTTTCTGCATCTCCCGCGCATTGTTGATGGCGGTTTCAGTAGCGTGATGTTCGCATTTTTTCTCCAACGCAAGGAGATCTTTTTCTCGTAACAGTTCATTTAGTTCTCCTGTACATTAAGATCGATTCAACGAGGGATAAAATTAATATACAGAATTCTGTTAAATCCCTAGTTTTGATTAACAAGTACCTTCTCTTAACTCATTAACAAGAGGACACAACGCAGCCAGAAGGGAGAATTACAAATTGAATCTTGGTAGTTACAGGTCAATTAACTTACGTTTTAGTTGCGCAACAAATTCTTCTTTTTTCCGAGTACATTCTTGTTCTTCAAGTAATTTGTCTGTAAAATCAAAAGCAAACAAACTTTAATTTTTTAGGGGAAAAAAATCAAAATACATCGTAGATTTTACTTTCCTTGTTTCGTTTAAGACAAGGATGGTATTTCACTTGGCCTTTGCAGCTGCATGTGGTTTGGGGGAGTTTTGATTTTGATCGAGCACCCGAAAAACCGCTATACTGAGAGGGCGCCATATTCTACTCTAAAATAAATATATCTTGTTTTTAATACACAATAACTTCGAGACCAATAACAATCAAAGCGCACATTAAACAAAATGACGGGAAGGGAAAGGTAAAGAGAGCACGATAAATGAGAGAACTTCAATGATGTGAATACTAGAAGTCAAACGAGTGAAAGAAAGCAAAGCAACGTAACGGTGAGACGGCAAAGTACCTCTCAGGTCTAAAATTTGCTGTTTGAAGTCTTTTGTATAAGCCTGCGCATTTTTCAGCTCCTCTGAAATAAGATGAAAACGCCGAATAAAAATAAAAACGGACAAAATAAAATAGGAAAAAAAAGTTAAAACAAAAGATTCATTAAATAAATAAAATCAACTATGAAACATTCAGCAAAATAAATATGAGGTGGTAAATATGAATTAGTTACTGTTGTGAGTGTAAGCAGTGTTAAGAACACGTTGATACATTAGGAAAATCGATGTGATTGGTTCAGAAAACACGCACCACTTTCGCAACCAATCACAAGTAAATCTAAAACTCCCCGGTCACCCGCGTTTTCCCGCGCTTCCTGCAGTTGTTTGTTCCTACCTAAAGGTCTCCTCTCCTCCTTGTGCTAACTATCTTTATTCTGTAAGTCTCGACCTCGGAAGTTAGGTCAGTGACCGAACATGACGCAAATACTAGTAATCTCTGTTCAAATAGAAAGCAACTTTTACAAATTCACGAATATACGTGACCATCCACACCTCCTTTTAACAAAATCTCTGCCGAGGTATTGTTAGAAACACTAAGAACAAGAAAGAGTCTGGTAAGAATAGAAAACCACCTTGCAACTCGACCACAAGTTCGTTATTTTCCTTCAGTTCTTGTTGGGTATCATTCAGTTGCCCTGCAAACAAAACAAATATATCTGAGCGACTATCTCAAGAGCGAATTCTCCTTCGAGAGTTTTTTAACAACCATTATTAATTAGCTCATGTGTAGAATAAAAATTGTCAGGTGCCTTTTTACACACAACGGGAGGCAAATTGCCAAATGGAAGAGATACAGTGACTATTTGACGCACGAAATAAAAAGCTCATAACTTAAACCGCATTTCGATTAGCATGTCATTCCTACTGCTGCCGACGGCAATACGAAGGCATCCTTTATCTACCACCTCTGAATATAGCGAAAAATGTTTCCATGAGAAGTGGTAATGTACGCCAATTGTAACAGAAAACTTTCTAGACAAAATGCAGCTGAATTTTGCATCTCTTACTCAGTAATAATTCGGTCCACATGTTTGCAACAGCAAATCCGAAAAGGAATTGCCGCTTTTAAAAAGCAACACATGAAACTAAAAGAGTTAAAAACGTCATAGATACGAAATATTGGACCTGATTGTCACGGTTGACGATTATTTCCTTCTGATGTAATAAACTGTAAGAGTTTACAAACCTTGCACATGCTGCGACTCTTCATGTTCATTATCGATGATTCTTCCAATTTCAATGAATTCTCCTGAAAATTACAACAAACTTCAAGTCAATCGAGAAATTTTAAGATGGACTAATGGGCACGCGAAAATTTGTCAAACTCCGTTGTGGCTTTAACTCTTTGGTACCGGAAGTATAAAAGCCAATTCTATTAATTTTATAACTTACTTTTTTCAACTAAAACACTACGTATTCGAATTGTGAAAAGTTTCCCCTCAACGGGACCAAATTTTGTACTGCTTCTTACAAAAAACGACGAAAATACAACGATTTTAAACCCAAATAGTGTTGCTCACATTAATGCTTACTAACGCACGACAGGAAATGGTCAAATATTTGTAATAAAAATAATATTAAAACGTAAATCATTTGTATTAATAGCAATGTATGTTGTAATCCCAGACCAATAGGAGTGCACGAAACTATATATTACCAGCGACATAATATCTGTGAAGAAACATGCTAACAATGCAATATTGTTTACCTTTTATGTCTTGTACATTGTGTAAACTGTCTTGCAACAATTGCCTTGCGTTCCGTGGTTGATCTGCAGAAAGAATCATGTTAATGTAAGTAACAACTTACAACAAAAGATAAGGCACAGATAAAAGGCATAGAAAGTGTATTAAATTTTCTTAAGAGGCTTCCACAGTCGACCTTACAGACCGCTCAGATTTCATGATTAAAAAGAGTTCTGAAAACTGGGTCAGTTATGCCATCAGCATCTCGTAACCGAACCAACTAAGATGTTTCACATTACGCTATCGTACGTCACATACCAAATCACATAAAGCCTGTCTTGCATCTCACATTACGACGAAAGAAACGCGCTCTAAATCGTTTATAAGGTCGATAACAATAAATCCATCACTTACGACCAGAGGTTTCCTCTCGATGCGACTTTTCAGCAGTGACATCATTAGCAACTATTTCATCTTCATCATCGTCATCATTATCAGCTGAGAAACAAATTAAAACAAGAAAATGAGACTTTTTATAAGAATTTGTAATTTTTAGAGCGCATTTACACGGAAAAACGTAGCCACATACAGCAATACTATTGACATTGTAGTTTTGTGTACATTAGAGCGCTTTCCTCCACTGAGTGCCCAAAATCATAGTAATCACAATGGCCAATCAGAAGAAAGAAAAATATCCTAAAGAGCCAATCAGGACTAAAAAACAAGCAAACTGCCTGAAGCGCGGGAAAACGCGGGCGACAAGTCGTAATTGGCTTTAGTTTTGTATCTGATTGATCGAGAGAGCGGCGCGAGTTTTCTAAACCAATCACAGAGCGAAGTAAAGCAAAACCGATGCAATCCGAGATTACTTTCAACACTCAACTGAAACTGACGCAAAGGTCAGGACTGTGTAGTGCTTGACTGGTTTTTTTTAGCCTTTAACAGTCACGGGCAATGCTAAACAATAAAAGTTGCAAACAATCCTTGGACGAACATGCGACGTGAGACTGAGAATATTTTTTGCACCGTCTCAATGAATGTCCACTACTCACCAGACCACCTAATCATCATCAAGTGCCTCTCTTCAGCCATGGTTTTCACCTCACAGATGCGATCTGACAAAATAAGGAAACTAATTACGAATTTGCAAATAACAATGCAGAAATAATAAGTGTTGCCTGCCAGCGCAAGAGGTCTAGCACTGGTAATTAGTGCCAGAGCCCCAGCGAGCCTCTCCCCGACTCTTCTCAAATCTTCTCACGGGCGGAGAAAAGCGCGTCCTGTAGCACTCATATTAAAGGCCAGCTCGCAGTCTCTTGGTGCAAGGCGCAGCTAATCAGGTTTTCCTTGAACATGCTCTGTACTTCCTTTTAGAACACGCGCAAGGAACTCTCAAATAATCTGCAACAAAAACCTACGAGTTGCGACTTGTTTCTCAAAGCTATGAGCTGTAGGTTATACATTGTGTGTGTTCTTGATTTGATTCATCGTTTTTCCATGTAGTTTTTAGCTGATACGAGACCTCAGCAAGGACCAAGTGAAAAAACTGGTGGACAAAGTGCCTTAACCGTATCAACATGAAGGTACAATACATGCAAGTCAAGCTATTTGAAACCAATACAGAGAATAGCATAAGCTTCTTTTCTTACCATAAAGTCTTTTGACAAGATCCATCTCATCGGACAAGTTTCTGTTATCTATCTTATCTATGTCATGGTCATCATGATCTGTTCACAGAAAAAAGAATTGAATTACTGCGTACACCGAATACTTTAAGGGAGCGCTGTTTAGCTGACACAATTTTTGTGCTTCGAGATGGCAGAAATTTCCGTTTGGATGAAATTCACGAAATCCTCTGTGACAACATTGTAAAAGGGGATAGGAAAATGGAAAAATAAATACCACTTACTAGCGACAGGCTGAGAGGCATCAAAATGGTCTCCTTCATCACCCCCGATGTCACTTGGAATGGACAGATTATCAATGTCCTGAAGATGGTGCTCCACCACTTGCTCTGTAATAGAAGAAAGAAACACGATATATTGATTGTCTAGGCTGGGGAGAGAAAGAAATTTGTACCAAGAGGGCGGTTGTCGGTCAAAATAAGGAGAGGGGTAGGGATGGGGAAGTGAAGGTTACTTCTCTTCGCCCTTCCCCCACCCCCTACCCCCACCGTCCACTCTAACTCCAAATCGAACAGGGCCGGTCGTTGTTTCCAGTTGGTTTACACATTTGATATAGCCAGTGACTAGAGAGACACTTCAGTTAGATAAGAGGCCATGACTGTACACGTACACGTAGAAATCACAGACGGTAAAAACGATTTTAGCCACACCGTACCTTCAAGTGAGCGAATTTTTTCACTGTCTTCCTTCGCAGTTAGTTGTGACTTTTCTAACTCGCCTACGAAAAAAGGGAATAAAAAGGATTTAATAAAAAATAACTACGAGGCAACACATGAACCATTTACCAATAACTAGCCAAGAGTACTTAACTTCTTTCAAAAATTTCTTACGATTTTCTTACATTTCCAAGCAGACGGCTCATGATTTTTTCTTGAGTGATACAACTTAAAATTCTCTCTTCCAACATATAGAGAAATGTGTGACAACCATAAGGGAAAATTAATTATCAGATCTCGAGAGTCAAGGGCTAAGCCACAGCAAGCCATTTAAGATCAACGCCAATCACAAGAATGAGCCTACGATAACACGAGTGACTTGTTTTTCTCTCCGTTAAACTGAAATATTTCAACAATGTTATCATCTTTATTCAGTTTTTTTTACGGTTAAAACAATCAGTTTTAATTTGGTTGCATACCTCTCAAGAACGCCACCTCACTATGGCTTTCTTTGTGTAACGACTTTGTTTCTTCTATTTGCTCTGTTGACAAGGAATGGGCACAATATTTCCACTTGTTTACCACAAAGAAATCCAGACCTACCACTATAAAAATGTCTATACTCGCAAAAAGCCAAGTGGCCCATCCAGCCGGGGCTTTTCCCAGCATGAAACAACGAGGAGTGTTACTAATCCCCACTGGATGGAATGCCATTTCACCCCTTGGTTACCAACCCCCCCCCCCCCCCCCCCCCCCCCCCCGCCCCCCATAGCATTTCATCTGAGTCCCCGAAAATTCGCCAGTACCCAGTTATAAACCCTGTCTTTTTCACTAACTTCACTTTGGAGATTTTCAACTTGAACTGTGAGGGAAAAAAATGACGTGTATATGTTTCAAGGTTTCACAGACAAAAGAATGGTGAAACTATACTCTACATTTAGTATCTCGAGGACTCTACATCATAACTAACCTTGTAGGATTTTAACGTCATCTGTGTTTGAATGATCACCGTCCTCCATGTCTCCCAGTTCTATTGCATCTTCTGTAAAGAAATAGAACCAAAAAAAAATCTTAACAGTTTTAAAATACATTATTTTGCTGGGCCAAATGTGATACAAAGAGAAAATAGGTTAAAGTCTAATCGTGTAAAGTAATTGAGTATGTTCTGCAGAGGGTTTATGTAACAACCTGAGAAGGAAAGGGATCTGAAAAACAACTGCTGCCTCCATCAAGAATTGTCGCAAGGGCAGAAAATGGAGAGTTAAGTACGCTGCAGAGGTTTATGATTAAAAGAGCTAGAACCTTGACCATTTCACTTCCAAGATCTTATTGATAAGTTCCTTACAGTGTCTCAAACAGTTCTTATGATGTTAGTTCCAAGAATTTGGTAATCAATCAGCTAATAATCGCCTAATTGATTTTTTTTTGTTGTTCTCCTCACCTGTCTGCTTGGTATTGTATTGATAATGTAAGGAGAAACTTTCTCTCGGTCACTAATAGAGTTTCAGGGTTAAAGAACACTCTTTCCACAACATATTTGTCTATTCCATTTAGCTTGCAGTTTAAAATTTCAATCAGACTATTGAGAACAAGTTCCTGGGCCAACAATTGCTATAAATGTGAAGACATGTATGAACTGTACAACTCACCACCATCCAAACTTTCTGGTACTGATTCCAGTTCTCTTGTTCCATTTACATCAACAGTCTCAATGACAGTTTCATCTACAAATACCAACAAATAAGGAACACGCAAGAAATACTGTCAAAGCAAGGTTCAGAAAGCAAGTCAAATCTTTTCAATCATCAAACTCATTCTCTTCATGGAGAGTTTTTATGCTACAAAACTAATAAAAACAACAGACACCAGAAACACTGATGGAGTGTTGTAATTCAATGAAAAGGCAGATCAGCTGCTAAAAACTGAACAGAAAACAAGTGGTGATTAGTCCCTGGTTTTGAGGTTTGCACACATCTTGAACTTAACTTTTATTAATCAGCACACACTCGACCTGTTAGAATCATGTCAAAGTGTTCACAGTTTTTTTTGTTTTAGTTCAGAGCAAACTTGACCGAGAACACACAAACAGTCTACTTTAAATTTTTTTTACTTCACTCCAACCCAATAAACCAGCGAACAAATAAATTAGTCTTGAGGAAAATTTTGCAAATTGTGAGATGCAGGCCAATGGTTTAGAGAAGATTTTTCTTGTTTTGACCCTACATCCCTACAAAATGAATTTTTATGTCTTTACCTAAAACCAACATTAACTATAATCCATTGCTTTTAAAATGTTTTGCACATCTCCTTGTGATTTAACCAGCAAGATAAAACTAGGTTTTTGAGCAAATCAGATTTTTCTCATAAAATTTAGTATATCAGTTATATAACAAAATTCTATGTTTTCTAGCATAAGTCCTTCTTATTCATGAATATAAATTGTACTAGAGTAGATAAAACATTGATTATCAATGTTGATTATCATAAGTAATGAATCAAAATAAAAAAATTATTGCACTTTATCCTTGGGTGATTAAGGGATTAGTTATCCCCAAATTTCAAAGGGTTTATTTGGAAAAAAAAGTTGACAGTATCACAATGACAACTAATAAGTACCTGCTGGTACCTGTTTTGTTTGCACATATTAAAATATGTGTATTGGAATACTGAGATACCAGCAAAAAGTTTGGCTGCAATTTCACAAAAATTCATCTAGAATTCTGCATAATCAATGTCAAACTGTTCTTAACAAGATTTAGTTTCAAATATTGGGAAAAAAAGTTTTAAATCATCATACTTTAGCATCCAAGTAAAGAAATAAATAAAATTTGCAGATCAAATTGTTAATTTCTCAGATGAAAAATGCAAACTTAAGATATTCATTTCCTTATTAAACAGCTAATAAGCCATAGTACATAATGAAGAAGACAGAAACAGAATATATGAACAACCTTAACAACGAGCTTCCTCACAAAAAACTCAGACAAGTCATCAAGAAAATTTTTAACCATCTCTAACTCAAATTCATAGATTATAATTCATCAAAAGGTAGAAATAGAAAGTTCCCAAAGGAAGAAACAGTGCATGTATCTGAAAGTTCTTCACCATCTTTTAAAGAATTAACACTATTAAAACCAATTCACAGGAAAAGTAAATATATCATGGAGCTAATAAATTTTCAACCTACCTGTAAAATAAACAAACCAGAAAAAATGCATATTTTCCATTTCAAGCTCTTGTTGAGAACAAGAGCTTTCGTGCTGATAGCTCAACTTAAAACCCATCTAGGAATGTTAAAATTCTCCCAGTCCTCTCAAATGTTTACACAAGTTGACAAACTGGCATTCAGCCAACAGTTCATGAACCACAGACTGATGTCTGCCTAAACACGTGGTCAGAGTGATGGAACAGATAATGCAGATATGGAAATTACACCACAATCTAATCTCTTACATGTGCATGTAATTAATTTTGGTACCAAGTCAGATCAATGTTACTGCAAAGGAGTTCCCCAAAGTTGTAATACCTGCTGCCAGTTTACCTACACCTGTAGAATAAATTTTGTTGTCACAATGTCATGCAATTGAAATAAAATTATACCTTGTAGCTGGATCACTGGTGATTTGTACTCAGCACCTGGCTGGCGATGTTCATCTTTAGTTTTATCAATGTGAACTAAAAATCATGCCAAAAACATGGTTAGAATGACAATCAACAAAACCAAATTTAAGGCAGAGTAAAAACATCTTCTAAGGGCTCTTATTGTACTTTTTTCTCTTGTTTTCAGAGTCAAAGTATAAGTGTGTGCAAATGAATTGGCAGGCAGATTTATTGGTTAGGCTGACCAACTTTTGCTGGCAAAGGGCAAACACCTAGCTAAGTTTGAACAAATTCTGTTTGAAATTCTGTTTATCGGTGAAGAAACTGAAGTCAAATTCCTCTTAGAACCACTGACTTGTTAAACTTGTTATTGTGCATAGTCAAGACTGCCTAGTCTACAAAGTTGAAGTTGGAGGAGTTGAACTGGGGCTGAGAAGTTAAGAAACACTCCAAAATGGATTAGTGTCAGTATCTGAACAATTGTACATCCACCTCTCCCCTAACCTAACATTAATCCTGACTTGTTATTGGGTGATGGGAGGGGTGGGTAGGTGCACATTTGCTAAGATACTAGCATTGATCCAAATTCTCTGAAGAGGAATATTTAATTTCGAAGTCTTAAAATCAACTTGGTTGAAGCCATCAATCATAGTGACTGTTGGTACACTAATTGATGAGTCAAGGAGTTTGACATCTGTCATACAGAGCATGCAATATTTTTATTGGTAGAGAAATTATAGATCTTGGTTCAGATAGAGGCCACAAACTATTTTACCTTTCATTGCTTCAACTTGTTCTTTCTTAAAATCACATTCTGCTTGTAAAGATTCTTTCTGTAAATAGAAAGTAGTGAATAAAATTTTACTTTTAATCAAGAAGCACACAAAGTTTTCACTCCAATGGGTCAGCAAATCGATCACTGAGAGAGTATTTAAGATTGGCGTTTGCTATTTTGCAAAAGTTAGAAGATCTCTACCTACATAGTCTGAGGATTTGCCTATGAACTGTTACAGAAAACAGCAACAGACCAACGTCATAAAAATGCTCACAAATGTGAGTTTAAGCATGATGCTTATGCTGATGATAAATGACAGGGGAGAACTCTGACTTGACTAAACATTCCACTTGTCTTTCATCAACCCTGAACAAAATTGCAAAAAGTGTCTCGTTGACAAATTATGAGATATCTTAACTAAGTATGAAAATGGTTGTGAGCAGATGGTGAGAGACTGGATTTTTTTGTTTCCTGTTTGCTGAAGAAGTCATGCTTAACATTTCCAAAGCCTGTCTTCTTTTCTTCATATCAACGAACCTGTGCAGCTAATGAAGCTTCACGAAGCTCTGCTTCTTTTAGTCTCATTTCAAATTCAGTTTTCTCTTGAAGAGCCTACAAATAAAACATAATTCAAAGTTTAAAACAAAAGGGAAAAAAAAGACATTCACCCTATTATACCCCTGAGAGAGATAAAGCATATAATTTCTCCCAACAGTACCATCCTTGAATCAAACATTAGGGTCATGAGAATAAAAGAAATGATCATAAACCCTAGAGGCTCTTGATTGTTAGACAAATTCTCCCAATACAATAATAGAAAATGTATAGAGAACTAATGAATGATAACTAATGAAAGAGGAACGAAAACCGTGTTTACATACACTCATGTAAAATGGTTTTATGGCCAATCAGAGCGCGTGTACTATTTGAATTGTTTTATAAAAAAACATAAGTCCAAAATTCTTGGTTGGTAAAAATTTGGTCTCTTTATGTATGTGCATACACCAATGAACCAATGTCATCATGATCAAACCAGGCATCATTTTGTAGGCTTAGACTTTATTGGTAACTTTTGAGCATTTCAGATGCCTTGATTTCATTGTTTTGAGTTTGAACACAAGGCATGGTTAACTGCATTCAAATTAACAAAACATTTTCACTATTAACTCACCTGCTCTTCAACTGCGGAATGTCTCTTTTCAGCTTCTTCAACTTGATCCTGAAGACTCTGCATTTCTTGTAATCTCTGGCAAGTTAAGAAGATATTACAATGTAAGTCACAGAGAAGTTTACACAAGGGTAAGAATAACATCAGTGAGATTTACCACCACAGTAAGGAACTGAGCTTTATAACATAATATGAATTACACAAAGTTGACTGACACCAATGAAAAACATAACAGGGGTGACACCATTCCCTTACCTGCTTGTGTTTTTCAGCCAAATCTTTAAGTTCTTGCTGTGATCTTTCATATAAGGACTTGAAATGAAGACATTCATCCTCAGCGTTGTTACATGATTTCTAGAAATTATAGAACAAAAGGTACAACTTACATAAAAAGCTTTTTCACATGTGTACTTACAACCATTTTTCCATTGGCTCTACACAATAAAATGCACTTCAAATATCAGTTACCTCTATTTCAGTTAATTTTTGAATAGCTTCTAATTTTTCCTGCAACACTTTTTTGAGTGACTCCTAGGAGAGACAAAGCGTAATATCTAAAGTAAGTTATTCAGAAGCACCATATCTATAAGCAAAGAAAAAAACTAAGAAATCACCTTAACTTTCATATTCATGTAAGGAATGCCATAAACTGTAGATACATATACTTGCCTACGATAAGGTTTACATGTATACTAAAATCATAGGAGTTCAGGAAAAAAAAAAAAAAAAAAAAAAAAAACCGTTAAGCCTATACTAATCAGTATGTCCAGTTGCACAGTCAACCAGCTGGAACCAATCCCAGTTTCCATAGCATGAAGTGACTGGGAGTATCACTTCTCTTCCCCCTCCTGGAAGAGATGTCCTGGCCAGGTCTGGCACCTGAACCCTCAAATTGGAGTCCAGTGCTCTAACCCTAAGGCCACAACGTCTTCGGATAAAAATCAAAATCTGACACAAAACACCCACCTTTGCTCTCATTTCATAATTATGTCTTTCCTCTTGGAGAACAAGCAGTTCTTTTTTTATGTCATCTTCATTTAAATTCTGGAAAAGATAAATGCCATCTTAATTTTCCTGTGTCCACATACTCAACAAGCTTACTTGAAAAATCATCACTTTGACCATTAATGTTCATACTTCAAATGTTTGTTGTGAACACATGGTGCTCCATACTTTACCTTTGTTAAAGTTTCCAGCTGGTTTTCCAAAATCTCTAATCTTGACAGCAATTTGTCCTCTTGAGCAAATGACTGAAAAGGAAAAAGCAAAGATACAGGTCCATGCAACTTCAAAATTCAGATTACACTATACATGTAAGGCATAGCCATCAAGACATCCTAAAGAAACACACACCAATGCCATAAGCAACTACCTGGGTGTTGTCCTCCACTGCTCCTTTCGAGTCTGATATAAGTCTCTGAAGATTTGCCAGTTTGTTTTCCAGCATTTGTTCTCTGTACAGCGCATCCTGTCAAACAAAAAAAAGGGGTAATGAGAAATTGAATTTTATCATTAAAATAACTACAAGACAAGTGACTTTTTTTTTTGCATGAAAATTTCACTTATCAACCCAAGAATGGCAAATAATAAGGACACACTGATCGAACATGATATACTGCTTTACATTTACCTGTAAATACTGGGATAACTGCCACATTTCTTGTGCTTGGATGCCATTTTCATTCTGTTGTGAGAGCGGAAACAACATTATAGGAACTTAAGAATTATATTAATATTTAATATTATTAATTCTAATCAATATTTAATAATCGGTAAGTTTTATTACTACTTATCCACTGGATGACCATTCATCCATTGGATAGTGCTACCTGCTCTTTAAACTACTGGCGCCTAGTTATTCAAAGGTTGGATAATGCTATCAATACTATCACTGCTATCACCCTACATCTTGACTAGTGGCAAAAGAAAATTATTTAATAGTTTATCTTAAGAGTAAAGGATTAAAGGAAAACTGCCCTTTAACAACATACCAATGCAAACAAACTTCTGGGAACACCACTCCTGCAACAAGTTAAATCATAATCAAGTTATCAATGAGTGCAATGTCTCTCAAACCCCCACCATTCTGATGTGTGTTCATTTTCATTAATAAATGTAGTTAAGTGTTTTTTCTCTAACTAGTACTTCTGTTTTGCTTTCAACTGTCTACTACTATATTCGATTTGAAAAAGATATATTTTGTTGTGTTTTAAACTATCTTCAACACTAAAATGGCAGAAAATGCCAAAGAAAGCAGTAGTATCTGATGAATTTTTTGTCAGCGAAAGTCCAAATACCTGGACTTGCGTGGAGGGTGGGGGAGTGGGGGGGATGGATGTCAAAGTCTGAATTGATCAATGTGTAACCCTTACTGAGCTTATAATAACCAAAGCCTGACAACCACGACTTACTTGGTTGCTTCTTTTCCATCAGGTAGAAACAGGGTCACAGTAGCCACAATACAGCCATGAGTTACTGAGAACCAGTAAATGAAAAAGACATTAAGTCCAAATATGAACATTTTGTCAGTTTTATCACCTCCTTATACTCCTGAATGGAGAGAAGGGCTATCATAGTTAAATATCTTGTCTAATAACACACAACTATGAGCCTAAACCTTAAACCCTTAAATCCAGGTTTTGGAACACTAAGGTCTGATTATTTAGAAAAAAGCTTAGCTATTGTTACCAAAACTGCATTCAATCAATCCTCAATTCAGCTAGACCTTTTATCTGAACATTTATGTTTGTGAACAGTGTAAAGACGGCAGAAATCTTACAGTGAAAGGACATTTATTTAATTAAATCAATCCTTTTAGATAGGAAGCCTGAGGCCCACTGATTGTGTAAGACCATGGTTTTGGTTAGGCTTCATCTTGATAACTGGCCTTAAGTCTCCTTCTGTAAAAGTAAAACATGGAATCTTACAAAGTTAAGCAAAATCTCTAACCTTTTTTAGAGTTTTCCACTACATCCACTCCAAACTGAACAATATCCCCAGACTTTAACTCCTTTGGCTCACTCTCCTCTGACCCTTTGCTAAGCCGCACATTGTTCACAAAAGTTCCATTGCTACTTTTTGTGTCTTGCAAGAAGAACTGAAACAACAAAATCATTTATATTATATTTCAAATATCAGCTAATATCAATGAATAACATAGTCTGAGATTCATAAAATTTACTCAATGATGCTAAAATCTGCAATTAATAAACACATAAGTTATTCACAACAAGGTTTAAATTTCTGTCTCAGATGGGTAATCATTGTGCTGAGTGACTTTCAATTAGTTCATGTATTCAGAAAGACAAATGTATCTACAGAATAATGTAACAATGGGCAGAGTTGCTTGGAGATTCAAAACATATCATCTGGTTGTGTCAGTCCTTTTTAGAAAAAAAACCACTGACAGAAGCTGTGAAAAGGATGCAGAATTATAATGAACACATATTAAAGATACCTATAATGAATGTATCAACATGTAACATTGTAAATATAGTTAATGAGAGCAGAATTCACTCTTCCAAATTATTTTCTTTGTTTTTCTCTTGTTAAGTATTCTTAAGCAGTCCTTATGCGAAAATATCTTTACCACAGTTTTTTTCCAAAAGACCTCTTGCTTAAAATCACACATGTCAAATTATCAATATAGAAACCTGCTCAAGCAAAACTTGCTGAGAACAATTTGTTAGTATAAGTGACTACACAAGGAAACTTGCCAAGGGTACTTTTTTTTGTGACAAAAAATTCTGATGGAAATTCTACTCTATTATTTTTCCCAGACTTTCTTCACTGGGATATTATTTTGGACTCCACCATACATTGGACAATTTTTCCTTGAAAAATTAGAACTTGCTGGTATGACTGTACCTTGCTGTTGTCATTTAAGTAACCACGTAACATCATCTCTTTACTGTATTTACTGACTATATTAAATAAATACAACATTCTCTTGGCTTTTAGACAACCAATTAATACTATGAATACTGAATTAAATACAAGGATAAGCTGGTTTGCAACATAAAGGTATCAATGGCCACTTCATGCTTTTTAAACAAATGTTTTGATAATTTTGACTGATATCATGATATGCCTGATCAGCTGTAAATGAGGCACAGCACTTTTGCATTGCTACATTTCATTACAGGTCAAGTTCATTCTATTCATGGGCAATAAATCAAAGGAAACAGGAAACACGATTAACTAAGACTGTTATTCCCCTCTACTATGCAGTTTATTTGATGAGCAGTTGTGTAAATTTACATGTAGAGTGTACCTCCAACTGGTTGAAACTTTAAAGAAATGTAAACAATGAAATTCTTATATCAGAATAACTTTTTTCATTTGAAAGTTTTAGTTGCTTTGCAAGAACATACCCCGGGTAACTTTCATTAAAATGTTTGCCAAACAAAATGATGTGTTTCAGCCTGCATATACATTTGAAAATTAGCAATTTTTTGAACAAACAAAATGGTATTTACTCAAATTGAATGAAAGCATTTCCGCTGCGGTTCAGACAAGTTTGTTGACACCTCCAACTTAGACAGGAAAGAGTAGGAGGATGTGAACCAAATAAGGCAAACTTTTTAGCAGAGAAGAACAATTTCGTTTACAGTTCGGCAATGAAACTGAAATCACACGATTAAAGCATGCCACAGAACATACTACGATCAAATAAATTTTTGAATTTCAAATAAGACTGCATTACAAAAGAAACAAATTCTCAACATATAACCTTTAAATTAATTAAATTCCAAAACACATAATCTTTTGGAAGGGATAGTTTATCTGACGAAGCGTTTAGACGATTATCTCCACTTGTGCTTTTAAATCGAAGGTGGTTTGCCAACAAGAAAAAGAAAACCACACAAAAAAGGTGCTCGATCAAAGATCAATACAGCTAACGTGTAAGTAGCATGTGACAAGTCGAAAATAATCACAAGTTGTGTTTCCGGAAAAATTCACGCAATAATAAATGTAACAAGGACCCTTGAGATTAACTTTTATATGTTACTTTTAAAGGAAGAATCTTTCTCTCGACAGAGAAGTTTTAGTATCATCTCTCAGTGGCGAAACACCAATGTCATTGAATTGGTTGAAAACGTTACTCTTTAAATTGAACAACCACTTACATCACTACTCAGGATTTCAAGATTAAATCGTATTGTGCAATTTAAAAGATTTAAATTACTCTCTAGTTAGCTGAAAGAGCTTTGCAGACAACATTTATAATGTCTCGATGTAAACATCACAGTTATGATAATCCATTTATTTCACTGACCTTCCCGTCTTCATACCATAGGATAGCATGGTTCCGCGACAAGACCTTGCAGTCGAAGATACAATTGTTTGTGGCTGGTCTACTCTTCGCTACTGAACGTCCTATCTTTACCGGCTCCGTTAAAGGAACTCTCCTTTCCTCAAAAGGATGAGAATTAGGCCGCGAGGTGAATACTGCCATCGCCATTTCCCTGATTTCATGTTGTTCATTCGCCGACTGGAGTGTACGTGAGTTGACAACTACAGCGCATGAGCAGTTCAAACGGTCGGGTCTACAAGGGTTTACTGTCATGTGATTTTAAAAACTTTACCCTCTACCCCTCCCACGACAAAACAACAACAACAACAACGAAAGATTGATTAATACTAACAGAAACAAGCGAAAAGTAACAAAGAAGTAAGAAGAGAAAGTAAATATAGAAGAATAGAACAAAGAAAGAGAAGCTTAATTATAACAGGAGAGCCAGAAATGTGAAACTTTGATATTTTATGAAAGTCCTTAGCCCATAGCAGGTAATTTAGTGTTAACAACTGGGTTGAAAACGTAAATTAGCCACCGTAAAGAGTAAAAAAGCTGACGTTTCGAGCGTTAGCCCTTCGTCAGAGCGATAGACGAAGGGCTAACGCTCGAAACGTCAGCTTTTTTACTCTTTACGGTGGCTAATTTACGTTTTCAACCCAGTTGTTAACACTAAATTACCTGCTATACTCTCCCACCGACGCAGCACCACAGTTTCTTTAGAAACTTACCCCTTCATCCTTAGCCCATAGCCGGACTAAGTTGCATCGCAGTTCCCGGAGCGCGGAGCCAGGTAAGCTCTTTAATTCTCCCTCCTGGCTGCTACACATTATCTTGTATAAGTATAATTTAAGAAATTTTTGTGTTAGATCAATTTAACTACTACCTGATGAGTTTGAGTATTCTCATTACCCGTTTGCTAGATAATGTATGGATATTATGGGGAGAAGTTATATGTTAATCACCTCGGTGAGTTGAGGGGTTTAACGTAAGCCCCTCGCTAATTTTTGGAGTAGTATTATCTTGTATACATGCATTTAATTCTTTACAATGTCATCACAATAATATTTGCTACCGCTGGTGTTTCTGGTTATTGTTCATATATTCTGCTCTAAGAATTGGTCAATATCTGCTTTACATATATAAAAAGTTCTTGTCTAACTCAGAACCAAAAGAAAAGAGTGAATCACCCTAACTGATCAAGGCAAAATGATGATCTAGCTCACAATAAGCTCAGGCCATACATAATATTAAAAAAAAACACACTTTCTTTCCCTATTTTTTTATAGAGCGCGTGCTGATCATGTGTGAAGTTATGTACAAGAAGGACGAAAATGCACTACAAACTAATGAGGTCTGTCCCGAGCGAAACCTGATATGCCCTGTACATCTGACGCAGTTGTGCGTGCAAGTCATGACCGGCAGAGACGCGGGTGTAGATATGTTTATCCTCTGTCCCAATCCTCTCGCGGCTTAGCTGCTCGTCGCTTCAGCACACACTAGCAACGGAGACTTAGCCAGCTTGACTTGTTCACCTCTTCCTGGTTATCCGGCTGCCAGAACCCGACTCCTTTTTATTATTTAGTTGCATTCTTTGTGCACAAAAAAGGCAAGAAAGTTACGTTCGTGTTTTAACGAATTTCACCCTCTCTGACAGAAGTTCCCTTAGTTCTAACACTAGACTGCCTTTAAGCAATGTTAGATTTTTGCTGTTTCTTTCCATTGTAATACGATAACCAAATACATTTAATCCAACAAAACAAGAAATCATCTTATCAGTTTGATCAAAAGCGATTGAATATACTTTGGCAGTACTACTAACCCACTATCTGGGTAATGGGCTCCTACGTTAATCAGTATGGATCGCGTTTATCATCCAAAATGCCTCTGTTTAGCATCGCTGCTTCAGTTTTAAGTCATCGAGCTTAGTTTTCTGTTTCCACTACCTCGCTGTAGTAAGATAACTGTACGGGAGAGAATGGACGGAGCTGTGTATCGTTTTTTGTAGGGCTCAAATCGTACAGTCTTCCTCGACCTTTTGCTATTCTCTCTATAACACTCTCCAAAGTTTTGAATCTTGGCACGTCCGTTTTAGCTTCCCTGTTATTCTCAACTTTTCCTTTCTTACAAATGCACCACTGCTTTATATTTCTCCCACAATTCCGTAATTTGAAGAACTCTGCTCTGAATCTCCTGTCTAAAACAATTTGAATGCAAGGATTGAAAGCGCAGTTCGCATGCGCAATAAATGCAATAAGTAAGGACCAATGGGGAGCCAGGTTTCTTATCACATTTGGTTTGAAAACCGTGCACATACCAAGCACGTGAGCAGGAAGCCAGCATAATGCATATGTTGCTATGAGTGCGATTAGCAAGCGGATGGTGCGGCGTTTGGTTTTCTCAGCAGCTTGTCGATGGATACTATGAACATTTCTTGGAATGGTTCGAAACCACAGTTTTCGTCCCATAAGAGCGTACAAAGTTGCCATAAAAACGAGAGGAAACCCGTATAAGAAAACAAAGATTAATGAAACATGAAGTTCCATAACGACATGGTTGAGGACCAAGTAAACGCATCGATGCTGCTGACCAGATACCGTCTTGACACCGAACATGGCAAGATAAGGAGAGGTGAAAACCATAGACAGGAGCCAAATAACGAGCGAAATAAATTTGGTATATCTTATCATCACAGCTCTCCTTATGGGGAACAAGATAACATTCACCTGGTCCAGCGAGATGGCTATCAGGCTCAGAATGGAAGCTGTAGTGGAGATGGCTTCCGTATAATGTAAAAGTCTGCAAGAAACTTGACCGAGCATTCCTGGAAACCAAGCGTCTGCGGCGAATAGATACCGCAGAGCCTGCAGTATAACGAAGACAGCTACAAGAAGATTAGCGGCAGCCATGTTAGCGAAGAAGTAGGTGATGGTTGTTCTCATCACAGGTTTTTTAAGAACAAGGAAAATAATGAAAATGTTTGCGGTCAGTGCTACTGAAAAGATGGCCACATAGCCAGATGTAAACAAGGACACAGCAACCAAACTAAACGGAAGATTCATTATGTTAGCTTCCCAATTCCACCAATGGCTGCAAATAAAATCAGATAATAATGCTTTAAAATTTCTGCAGGAAAATTGCTATGATTTGATTTTGATTAGAATACGTTCTCTGGCTAACGCAAGGTTGGTAAGCAGTAAAAAGGAATACTCTCATGCCGCCTAAAAATTGAACTTTATACACACAGTTCCTTTTCATTACTCCAGACTGTCTTAGTCAGCCATGCGATCTGCTTTAACCCCGAAGAGTGACAAGCATCTAATTGACTGTTAAAATCAACTGGCGCGCAAGAGAAGAAGGGAAAGCAAAAAATCATTTCACACTCGTAATAGAGAGTAAACGTGTAAGCTTCCGGAGGTCGCAGCTCTAGTGGATTTTCGGGCGCTCGATGAAATTAAAGGCCGCAAAATCACGAAAACAGCTTCTTCGAGCTTGTTATTGTTCCTTCCGTAGTTTCGTCGCTCAAAACTCCTACAAAATAGCCAGCTTTGCAGGCCATGTACTCGTGGAAATATGTTTTCACTTAATTACGTTTTACATCATAGAGTAATAAAGAATGGAAAGCTCGTAGATCTTCATTTCATGAATGAATTTCTGCAACAATGCAGATCTTTTTTAAACTAATGGAAGCTTAAACCTTGGCATAGAGCCTAGATACGACCAGCTTTTAATATTCGACTGTGAATTAATTTTAATTCCACTTACCGATAACTTTTCCCCCACGGTTTCGTGCGATTTTGATTTGCTTTTTTATGTAAAAAATATCATACAAGGTATATTTTCGATTGCAAACAGCAACTAAAGCTCTCCGTAAGATCTGGGCGTCTTTCCCGGAGACTAAAATCTATCGAATGCCTTTAATATGCTAATTATTTCCACAAACATCCGGCAAAGCAATTTTGGACTGTATCTCGTATAAGATAATTTATAGCTCACATTTTCGGTGGAAGTGTAATAGATGGAAGTTTATCCGTTCTTTATAAAATAATGGAGATAATACCAGCGCCTTGATTGGTCAAAAACCTATCATTCATTGCACCGGTAAACCCATTGAAAATTAAAGTTTAGTAGACCGCACTCCGACTCGTGATTTATTAACAAAAATTTTACCGTATCCTCTCAACATCAAAGTGGGTTATTACCCCGGTAAAGCGATGGAAAGTACGTGCAGTATATTGCTAATTTAGTTTTGCCAGTAGGCATATCTATGCGCTACCAACAGATAGTCTTTGGCGATTTAGAAATTAAAATATATTGTAGTAACATGCTTTTCACTGTTTCCATACGTGCAACATAACTTTCCAATCCCCTTAAAAAATTAATTTTATGGTTCGTTCAATTTGTCATTTATTCATGTCTCGATAGGTTCTCGAATAGCACTTTTAAATTTGTGGTTTCCTGAAAAAATATTTAACGACCGGAAAATATCCACGTTCCTTCAAGGCATATTGCTTCACTATCATTACAACGCTTTAGCTACTTTATTCATATTTTTTTTCATACAATCCACCGAAGTTCATATTTCTGAGAACTTGAAACTGTCACTTAATTAGATCACGCTCACTTCATTCGCAGGTTATCCTATAAGATCTTTTCAGTAATTCTCCTTACTGTCTGCCGTACAATTCTTATGATGTTACTTTGGAGAATTTGGTATTGGATCAACTAATACTTCCCCAAGTGATATTTTTCTTTATTATCATCACTTGTCTGCTTGAATTTTTACTGAAACTGTGCGAGAAATTCTTTCTTAGTCACTCATGGGAGTTAAAAGGTTTATAGTTAAGGCTATGGCTAATGTACGGAACTTTTTGTTATGCATGTGAGAACATCGCTATTTGGAAGAATTCCGGAAGTAAAATCAATGAAAACACAACCTATTCTCTACATCCTGCCTCCGAGCTTTAGTTAGCTTATATTAATCAAAAGGATGCTCATTCAATTATTTTTATCAGCGTCATTTTTTCAAATAAATGGCAAAGTATTAGTTGCAGTTTACATTACAGGCGAGCTTGCCAAAGGTATCTTGCAAAACCACACGTGCACACACAGCCCAAGCTCCAGCTGTGAGACGATTATCTTGCGTGATAGGCGTCGTGTCATTATAGCAATATTTACGACCGCTACTTGAAATAAAAAATAGCAGTCAAATCCTTAATAAAAATACCTCACCTTACTTTCACAGAGCATCGCTTGTTGCCTTTTTTTTGCAAAGTTAGTGGTCAAACAACAAGCGATGCTCTGTGGAAGAAAGGCGAGGCATTGTTATAAAGAATTTATTCGATTACAATGACGTGTATGCGTGACGAGTCTTAAATTTCAAACCATTCTATTTTCGGAGCTGAGCGGTAACACTATCTACGCCGGCCAAGACTTCTATCTCTTCTTCAATCGCTTTTGTCCGATGTTAATTAAGATGTCCTCGGTCACATTTTTTCTGATCTGTTGTCTGTTTTTCTTTCTCGAGTTTGTAAGCTCCCTCGAATGCTCCAGCAACTCGCAGGAAGCGGATTACGAACCGTTCCCTCGAAATGTCACCCCGACAGAATTTCATACTCGCATGGAGATTACTTTAAGTCACCGGAATGCCACGTACTTTGTAAACGAGCGATACGATGAAGCAAAAGAGAGAGGGGCTTTTACATTGTTGGCGGAGGAGTACGATTGGGAAACGTATTACGACAAAAGTGAGAATGAAATCGCAAATTTATATCTACCCATCTTAGAAGACGAAGAAGAAAAATTAAATTTATACCTAAATGCGTGCAAGAGTTTCGCATGGTAAGTTCATTTATTACATCGTAAGAAGACATGTCCGAATTTATCATCAGTCACATCAGTGAAGATGACTTCAAGGTATCCTTGAGGTCTTTGAGGCAATACTCAGATACTTCTACCTTCCACAGTAATTTACTTAAATGAAAATTTTGTGGATTAAATCGCCTGGTATAGATCTGGAATTAATATTTTTTTATATTTTGAATATTTGAATGTTTTTTGGAAAATTTTGCCAGAAACTCATGATTTTAGTAAAACAATTTCCTTTGTTTCGCAATGTTTTGGGCAACTGGGCGTGACGGAGATATGATCGTGTCACAATCCATTTAACACATCATTACAAGAGATTGAAATCTGATAATTTATCGTGTATTCAAACTCAAGTCTGTTTCTTTCAGTGTACTCTTTGATTTGTTACCTCAGCGACTTCGATGCATGTTAGCTACCACGGCTTTCGAGGGAGAGATTAATGTCCTCTCAACGTTAAGTCTACGTAGCAGGTGGTTTTGGGAGCCCCCATAAAAAGTTTCAGCTGGGCAGGCTAGCTATCGATGGACGTGAAAAAAAATTAACAAAAAAGCATAATCTCTTGCAGAGGCTCTCTTTTTATTTTTGTCATTTTTTCTTTTTCTTTTTCATCATTATCAGTAACATTACCGTTATCGTTATCGTCATCGTTATTGGTACTGTTATAGTTATAGATATATATCGTTATCGTCATCGTTATAGTTATAGATATATATTGTTATCGTCATCGTTATCGTTCTAGTTATCGTTATCGTTTTCGTTAGCGTTTTCGTTAGCGTTATTGTTATCGTTATCGTTATAGTAATAGTTATCACTGTCACTGTCGCCATCGTCATAATTCCCATCATTATCCGAGTATGCCTGTGTCATGCACTGAATAATATCATCTTTTTCTTTCAAATCACCAGGCTTTACACTTACCATCTTCATTTACATAATCATTGCACAGAAACATAATATATCGACACTCCTATCCTACAGTATGCAGGAAGTTTGTCACCATGGACTTAGTTAAACGACCTAGCCTGCCACAAGCCTCTTACAGCTCGGTGGTAGAGCGTCTAACTTACTCATCGGGAGGTCGCAAGTTCAGCTCCTATTGGGAACACCCAGGGTGCTTTTTCTCCCAGTATGTCTGAGTCGTTAATTGAGCAACATTATCTTTCACCACATTATCCTGATTATCGTCATCATTATTATTATTATCATAATCATCATCCTCATTATCATTATTAATTAGTATTAATATTTTGTTGTGGTTATCTGGGATTTTTGTAGGACACAGGAGAGATATGATCGATACAGATGCCGTTTTCCTCAAAACGAAAGTTCCTTGAAGTTGATTGCAGACGCTTGCAGCGCGACTGTCGTATTAGACCTCGTGTACAAAAATAAAACACAAAATGCCAGATACCTCGGGCGAAAAATCGTGCGGAATATTCCAGTCCAAGGGTGGAGAATTTGCAAGAATGAGACTGCTATGGACTATTGGTCAGTTTGTTTGTTTTTTTTTTCATGTTATTGTTGTTATTGATTTAAGGAGAGCAAATTATTTGTCAGCCCCCCCTCCCCCCCACCTCACTCGGCTTCCATATAGGAAATGAGAGATGGGTCCATCACCCTTAGTTTCTCTGTTTCGTTACCCTTGTTACAGTCTTAAGCAGCCATCTTCGTTTTCTTTATCAGCCAAAATTTGCTTTTATGAATCCTTTTCAAAGCAGTTTCTTCGCGTATTTTAACAAGTAATCTGACTGAAAATTAAAAATGTTATCAACAGACTGCAAAGTCCGAAAATTTGAGGTTCACATTACATCGTCCCAACCTCGTAACAAATTTAAAATATAACTGTCCTTACCTCGTTTTCATTTATATTTACATGATTTACTTTTGACGTCATATCCGCTTAACTAAGTAACCTAGTCTCATTAGACTGCGAAAATGGCAATTGTCGAAAAAATATGAAGATACGGAATTAACCCCTTAACTTCCAAGATCTCATTAGTAACTCTCCCTACTGTCTGCTGTGCAGTTCTTGTGATGTTAGTTTGGAGAATTGGGTATTAAATCAACTCATAATCCCTAATTGATATTGTTCTTTATTCTCATCACTTGTGTGCTTGATATTGTATTGATATTGTGAAGAGAAATTTTGTCTTGGTCGAAGGATTAAGGACCAACATAATCCTTTCCCTATGTATACCTGGAAATCCGAAAGACTGCTATTCCTAAGGGCCGTAATTCTAATTTTTATTGAATCTATGGCGGCTCAGCTTCGTCTCTCCCACAGTCCAGCTTAACTGTAATAAAAACTGTTTGAGTGAACCTCAGATGGCGCGTTGAGGTAAAAGACAAGGATGAGTTAAAGAACTGAATAAAGGCCCCTGTTAAAATGTCCTTCTTGATTTCTTTCAGGTTCTCTGTTAAAGGCTGGTCACATACGTCTGGGAACGCCTCCGTTCCAGTCCTCGTAGAAGCGCGGCCTCAGAGCGCCGTGAACCTTTCGGGAGGAATTATTCACTCATACAGTTTTATTGACTTTTTCTTTGACGAACCTGAGTTTCAAGCGCAAAGAGAAATCTGGTGCCGAGGAGCCATCCGTCCACCTCCTTTACCAAAACTTCCAAGTAGATTTGATGTCAATTTGGAGCGGGTGACCTCAGAATCCACTCGAGTTTGGAGTGTGCAGGTAGTTACAAGAGTTATTATTTCGAAAGAAAAAGATAATCGTTTGTCTCACGATGTGGTCACTTCGGATGTGTGAAGAAGACTAATGGTATGCAGTCGTAACGTCGCGAACCACATCCGCAGTGACCACATCGTGAGACAAACGATTTTGTTACATACATAGACTTTCACTCAACAAAACGAGCACTGTGATTGATTGATTCTTGGTAATGTGCCCCTGATCAAATTCAAATGTATCCCGACCGGAATGCAATTGCGCAGTTGTTGCCCGCGCGCCGAGTACAACAGCACGTGATCAGTGCATGACTAAGTTAAAAATGGCGTGATCTTCAGGACGGGCTCACGTCTACTTGAATGTGAATAAAAAGTTGTGCCGTCTTTGTTTTTTCGTTTTTACCATAAGATTGTTTAAGGGAAAGTCTAAATATATAACAAAGCACTTAATATATGGTCCCTCGGGAAATTAGTTTGTTTTGTTTTCCCTCGAGTCCTAATGTTTCCCTCGACTTCGTCTCGGTGAATAACCTCTATCTACTTTACGACAAGAGTAATTGTGGTGTATAATGCATGCGCAGTGATGACGATACTTGTTTTTCGTCCATGCCCAAAGGAATACTACGACCTCGATAAACACCTCTACAGAAAAGACTCAGATGGTGATCCGAATCAAACGACGAAGACTGGGGCGGGAATCGATATCCGGGATGGAACGACAATGAAAAGTACCTTTTACAACAAAGAGACAGGTAGAAGGTTGTTAAGCGAGAGCTGATAATTTGCTAAGCGACTCTTTCGGTTATTTTCATCATTGATCATCATCGTTGTCATGGTTATCACTCGTTTCCTCCTCTGAGGAAAGTCACATCATGAGTTTACGTTTCCGCTCTTCCTAAGAATTGGCCCCACTCTCTCTCGCTTCTGCTAGGTGTCGTGAAACCTAAGACCAGGGTAATTACAACAGCGGCCAATTAGAAGAATGATAAACATCAGCGAGAGCCAATGAACTCTCAAAAGAAAGTAACAGGAGTTTAGGGTGGGAAAACGAAAATGACTCAGTCGCGACCAAAGTTGCAATTTTGATTCTGATTGGGTGAGATGGTGGGGTGACTTCCTAGACCAATCCGAGAGAATAATGAGGCAAAAGTAATACAATGGCGTATTACTTTTAACAAGCTAATGAAATCTGCTAAAATGCTTAGGTGCTTATCAGGTCTATGTTAATGAATATCAGAGCAGTCGTGCTCGGCTTGCTAGTCTATTTTCTCCCCAGTGTTTGCCGTTTTATGCCCAATTTTTTATTCAATTTGAAGGGCGGTATTTATTATAATCCACAATGATAAGTAGCTGGGCAGTGAAAACCCATTGAAGTGAAATTTCGAATTGCTCTTCACTTAAGGTAAATGCAACGAGCAAAAATTAGATTCTACCGCACCAAAGTTGAAATTTGAAGAGGACGACGCAATATTCGACACACCGTTTGGTATAATAGCGCTGTTTAAGGATCCAGATGGAAAGCCAGTTTACCAGGGGAGGGGTGTGGCGCGTGGTATCAAGTGTGACGTATGGCGACAGATACGAATTAACTGGCCCGGAGATGCTCAAGCATATACAATATGGAGATGGTTCTTTACAGAGAAGGAAGGTGAAGAATCACTATTGGTAAGAATACTTATTATCGAATCCTGTTATTTTTTATCCCGAGAGACACAATGCGTTTCTATCTTCTGGTGGGGGAATGGACAAACATACGACACCCACATTTTTTCGACAGAGGCGTGTCACGCGCTAGTTCATAAGATTACGTGACAAATTACATCGCCATCTTAAATGCACTTCCTACACTCTGATTAGTCCATTCAAGTTCTATATTGTTGTTTTCTGTTCTCTGAATGGCATAACCCCTGAACTCAACCGATGAAAAGCTGTGAAAAACCAATCGGGACTTGGTCCCTCTTAGTTTCTTGCGCTTGAGGCCATCTGCATATTGTCACTATGAATTTGATTCAATTTCCAGCAGGACTGGTATACGTATAAACTGTATGTCAAAACTAAGTACGTATGTTCACTTAGTTTCTTCCTTTGTCTTAAGGTGCCTGTCAGACTAGAGATAGGAGGGGAGGCAGCGATCAACTCCACCGATAGCGTTGAAATAGAGTTTAACCTCAACTTCAACTCGTTTGAAAGTCGTTATCCGACTAAAAACGCGTTCAGCTCATCGGTAATTTGCCCTCAGGAGCCAACAACGGAGCAGCAAAAAGGACTCTCCTCAGGAGGGGTGACTGGGGTAGCGATTGGATGCATTGTTTTGGGTCTGTGCCTTGGCAGCTTGGTAGTTTATCTTTGGTTTAAGAGAAGAGTACTAAGCAGAATGGGACCTCCACCCATGAAATTTCCCTGAGCAAATTCACATCGGATCACTTTATGAACGGTCTTTGTCAAGAGATAATAATCTGCTCTTGTTGTTGTTTACCTTGGACCGTGAGCCATGGAAACAAACATAGGTAATGTTAGAGGAAATTATTAGAAGAACTACTCCAGAATTCCATGAAAAAAAAAACCAATATTTTAGCCCTTTAGCCTGATTTTTGGTATTATTAAAACTACATGGTGTATTTGCTTTCTTTCGCGCGATTTCTATGTTTACTGAAGAGTGATGAGGGACGGGCGGGTCATAACTTATCGCCGTGGGGAGGGGAGCGGTGTATTTGAGTTGTGAAAACTGTCCGGCTTTATTTAAGCGTAAGTTTGGCCAGAAACACATTTGTCAGTTTACTTAAATGCTCTGTTTTATCCAATCTGTCTTATTTAAAGGAAAGGACCTTGAAATCATAAGTTCTGTTCAGGAATTTGAGACTATTCGTTTTGTTACGTAACAACCTTTTTTCGAAGACATTTTGGACATAACCATAACACCTTATCGCGGTTACGTAAGCAAGGAAAATTTCTTTCGAACACAGATGCTTATAATTTTTTTCTTAATATTCCAATGAAAAGGAATGAAAAGCAATGAGTTCCCAGAACAACTTGCTCTTTAACCAAATCTGAGTGATGCGTTGCGGAAATATGACAACAATTTATCAGTAGAATCAGTGGCGTTTCTAACAAAAATGTATGAGTCATGTAAAATATATCTTAAGAGCACGCAAGAACATTCGCTTAGGGCAAAAATTGTCCACAGACTATTCGTTGCTTGCCAAAGGTTAAAATTAAAAAACATAAAATGTGAGCATTGATAAAAGTGTAACATCATTTACATTACCCCTGCACAAATGAGCAAATAGTGTTTTCCTCTATGGCATAAAGCAACGTTTTCCAATAATGAATTCAACCTTATTCTTGCATAACACGGGTAGAAAGCTCATCGTGGAGATTAAAATTCTTTCTCTTCCTCTCCTTTTCCCATCCTGGTCGCCAGTAAACCCAAAAGGTACCATTTTCTTCCGACAAACCAACAGAACGTGCTCGCCGTCGCTCTAAAGGGGGAATCAACCGGATCCTTGCCAACGTATTTCTTGCTTGCTGTTCGTACATGTCTTTGGGGTACAGTTCATCGGTGCTTGGAGCTGGATATGCTGATGCTAGCGACCTACTTGGTGAACTCCCCATTCAAATACCGCTAAATACTGCTACTGGAATTTAATTTCGGATATATGCTCGTGGCGTCTTCCTCCGGCCCCAGATTACACTCTCTAAGCGGTTGAATCAGTCAGCTTGTTGTTTTAAAGATGTTTGTCACAGATTGTCACAGCTTGTTGTTTTAAAATCTTTGTCACAGATTGTTTTAGCAACACTTTCTGTTGTTGCCATGGCAAATTACTCGTTTACATGGGTTGTTTAGTGTTTAGGAACTCTGGTGTGGTTCATACGTCACCAACGTGGCAAACAGTGTTCTATTGATAATATTGTCATGGAAGCAAATTAAGCAAACAGGAAAGAGATAATTGCTTGTTTCTGCGAAGTGGGGAGTTTTCTATTGCCATGCGAAAGGTAAGCAATGCACCAGATGTTCACCAATGAGAGTCCAAAGTGAATCTCGATTAGATAAAACTAAAAAAAAACCCAACCGTTAGTCCATCATTTACTCATATTTTATTTTTTTGGAAAATTATGAAAGTCTAAAAAATTCGCAAACAGTAAGTTGTTTTTCGAAGCTATTCCGAAGTTCATTGTTTATTATATAAGTATTCACCTTAACGGCTAAGTCAATTAAATCTTCATTATAATAGTTTTCTTTCTGGTCATGCAATCGTACTTTAATTAAAAGATAATTTGATTCTATCTACTGAGTTGATAATGTGGACCACAGGGCACTAATAAAAGCTGACGTTTCGAGCGTCAACCCTTTCAGGTCAGAGTGAAGGGGTTACGTTCAACAGACGCAGGGCTAACGCTCGAAACGTCAGGTTATGAAATTATTTACGGTGAATTTATTATACCCCACTGACACAGCACCACGGTTTCTTTAAAAACTTACCCCCTTTGTATCCGAGCATGCATTTGTTTTAAGATCGTAGCAAACCATAAAAAAAAAATGTTAAAAGACAGTCTGATTTCATCAAAAAGGGATATTTCTAACGTCGATCGATTTCAACACGCTCACGCACAAAATCTAAAGTATAAAAAGTTAGTATCGTAATTACCTTGGATCAAGAGAAGATTTCGTTTCATTTACGTAAAATAACAACTAGTTTAAATCATAATGTTTTGTTTAGTTAAGAGAAGATTAGGGAGCTGGGTGGCGGCGACGGCAATGAGGACGTACTTGGCAAACAAAATATGTAATTAGAAAATCAAAAGCGTAGCTCATTCGTTTTGAATCTTCATACATTTCTTAACCTTCCTCTGCAATTCGTCAATATTTATGTGGTCTGAGAAGGGAATCCACCACGGAAAGTTGCTTAAGTTTCCATGGTTTGGAACTCAACGCAACCCATATGCGTTAAGTTGAGGTAAAGGCGTGGCGTTTCGAATCGCTTCGAATGTCGCACGGAATATTAGCAGGTGATCACACTATTTTTCGGTGCTACTTATCGTTTGTCTCGTAGCGTACTACAGAAATATCTCATAATCATTTCAGAACAGTGCGTGAGCTTCACCTTGCAGAAATGTCTAGGAATGATCGGCGTATCATCAAAATTCATTCATGAGATTGAATCAGTGAATTATTCCCAGGAGATCCGAAGATATATTTTTTCAGCTCTAATCGTGACACCACAATAGATGATAAACACCTCAAAATAATTTCACAGTGGTGTCTCCGGCACGTAATTGAAAAAAAAAAGACTTTTTTCCCTACAGAAATATCCAAATAGGTTTGATCTGCACATCGTAGATGAAGAAAAATTTTACTTATTCGAAAAAAGATTATTTTACCATTTCAATCAGCGACAAATGCTCAAAAAAGCTGCTAAATTTGCAAAGCGAGCAAGGTCCGAAATACGATATGTTGAGTTCAACAGGGCGGCGCCATTCGATGGAATGGAGGAATAGCAGAATATTCGCAACGCGGAATGCCTTGTTGTATGAGACAAAAGTCTCACAAATATGGACTGCAATGAAATTAGAAAATGATTCAAAATTAACAGGCAAATCAAAATTAAAAGAAGGCCAGTTTAATCATTATTGGAGCCTAGGGATTGACCGACAGAGGAACAGCGAGGTTCTTGAGCTAGCCTCTTTAAGTTGTCATTATCATTATTATTGTTATTATTAATATGATTATTTGTAACCATTTAATCATTGGTTTAGTGTCAATTATTCACTATGTTCTTGAATCATCTTTCTCTTGTGAATCAGGGCCTCATAAGTATGTGAGATGCAGCAGGTTTTCTGTCTTGCATGCGAGACAACTCTTCTGTAAAGTTACCTAATGGCATTATCATACAACCTCCGGTTCTTCTCAGTGCTATAACAACTGTGCTATATCAGTCGCCATATGCAGTTTTAACTGCCCATTTTTTAATAAACGTCTTCCTCGGCGTTGCCACTTTGCATGCTTAAGGTCCCTGATGTTTCTCGTAGTTAATGTGGTTCAAACAGATGAGACATCACTTAATTGTCTTCATGTCAAATTGTTCCTCGGTAGGCTAATTTTTTTTTAAACAGAAAATATTCCCAAACGTGAAAGAAAATTCAGACACTAAAAACCGTTACAACTCAATCTGCACACGAACAGAACAGTCAATATACCTCTGGGTTTATTAAATATAAGCTTCATCAGCGAGATTGTATCATCATCTCGTTGGCCCACACAATTAGCGAGCTACTCCTGCTCTTAATGCCGTCTATTCTGATGGTCTGGTCGCCAGTAAACCCAAAACGTACCGT